TATTACTTATCAATAGGTATTTATACGTTTTAATTTCTATGAATGTAAATTAGACACATTGACAAAATATTGGGCGTTTGGTTGTCTTATTATTTTATTTTAAATAGTTGTATACATTTAATATTCGTGCATAATAATATATTTTAGTTTTAACACAAATTTTAATATTTTAGTCGAAATTTGTCTTATAAAATATAAAAGCACAATTACTTGCATGTGGTATTTAAATTACAAAAATATTATCGTTCCTTTTGCGAATTCACACCGAGTATCACTGACTAACTGATAAATAATTCGGTTAAATAAATAAAATAACAAGCTTATTCGCAAGGTCTCACATTTAGATTTGAGGCTTCTGGTTGTTGAATTGATTATTTCATTCTATATAATATATATTTAATGCACGCGTTAATTTTATGGCAAGGCAATTCATTAAATAATCAATAACGTCCATTTTACAAATCGAAAGACAAGGAACCCAGTTGTGTTGAAAGTACACTCGTTGCATACATATCTATATATCTGCACATTCTTTTTTACTACCTTCTACTGGCTTCGCTGGTTGTTCCTATCAATAAAAAGTCGATAAAACTACTTATCGTTAGGTAGACACTGTAAATACACACTTCGTAATTGCATTCTGTAAGACGGGTACAAAAAAAACAGTAAGTCCTTTATAATTATTATTATTTTCATTATAAAAAAACAATAATTGACTGTTAAGTAATTACCTACCTACTACAGTTTAATAAAAACAAACTAGCAAATTACTTGATAATTAAATAACAACCCATTTTGAAATAGTAATTTTATAAAGTAGGAACAGACTTTTACTATTACATTGCGCAGACGATAAAACGAGCATTGTGCCTAAACACCGTTGGTCTGCTGCATTTACTGTAAAGTAGTGCTTAAGGTACATTGTTATTATTTTATTGTGCTTTCGTTTATACAAGTAATTAGAATAAAAATCACAATAGTAGAGTAGATTAAACTTGACCATTTGGTCAAAACTGCTGTGTTATTGTAAGATTTCTGAGTTCGGGCATTGTCCAAGTTGGGATGGATATTCCATTATTAACCTAAGCGGAGACAGCATCGTGCTGTACATATAAGAGAAGTGCTCGCATATGGTTGGCTGGTCATCGTTAACGAGCACGGCGCAGAGCACTCCTTTAGCCGTGACTTTCTATACTTGAAACACGAAATGTGGCCAACTATATCCTGAAAGTACGAGGAAATGCATCAAATCAAACTTCTATTATTATGGTAATGCGTGGCGTGATTTATTCTATCGCTGATTATCATCATGACACGTCGATAAATATCTTACAATGACCAATAACACAAAACATTTTAAATAAAATTACATTAAATAGTCGAAGTAGGTACACCATAAAATCAATTTTTTTTTCATGAAAAACTGATTTATAACTTTTTATTTAACAATATTGCAACGCGCGATATCCTAATAATAGGCAGCACCTGAAAATTGTTTCAATCTGCAATGTTATTGGATAATTTTTAGACGAAAATGGAGATATATTGAGTATAAACCATCAAGTGATATTCTGAAATCTAAAATATGCCAAGATAAACAAATATTTTAACCACGGTTGGAATTGGCAGCCATCGGTTTAGTGTTCGGGAACATCCTAAATATATCCCTGACGTCTTGACAAAAGTTAAATGTTCAAATTTTGCTGGTCTATTGGACACCTGAATCACACATCAAACAAAGTAAACGTCCCAAAAACTACTCTTACGTTCGAGACTGCGATTTTTGTATTTTTAATGGCATCCATGTATAATAGATGGCGAAGGGACAGCGAGCACTAGGCTATGCACTCCAAACGAAAAGTATATGACGGAATTTCTAGTGAACGGTAAAAGTTTTCTTTTGCCACCTAAGTGAGCGAAGAAAGCGACGTGTCAATCGGGCACTTTCCGGGTCAACAGATTTTCTCAATCCATTGGGGTTGACGTGATTAAAATTACGTTAAACTACAAAAGCGTTTCCGTTCGAGGTGACACGTAAAAGCTCGTGTGTATTTTCGATATTGAATGCCTCGCAGCAAACCTTTGCGCGCGTTACCGTTTATCCCTGCGTCTCTCCCTGCGACCTGTATACATTATTAAAGATACAGTGATAATAATATGAAGGTGAAGAACGTGCGACTCCCCCGTCCATCTTTCCGCACGGTCCACACGAGCTACCGACGCCGCAATGAAAACCCGTAGAAAACGTACAATTAAAATCATTTTCTTCCGCTCTGATTGATCAAAAGCCTTAATTTTATCATGCGGCGTGTTCATATACCGTGTAAAGTGAACCGCATACTAACAAACGCGTATCTGTAGCCAAACAGCTGCATAATATGTACAACGTTTATGGACACGATGTACTACTGTTCGACTTTGTAAGCGACCAACGACGACGTCGCGTCGAATGTGTGTATCAATGTATGTAGTATGTGTTACAGTTTATTAAAAAAAAAACCACCGCCAAGGTCCACCCGCACACGATGTTCTAATAAAAATTAAATGTCGAAACACGCTTCGACCCTTTCATTAAAAAACTGGTTTAAAACAACACAGTAAATTATTATAAAGAAAAAATCCAGTAAATCTCCCGACGCGTTGTCGGAAAACTTTGGACGTTTCCCAAAAAAAAAAAAATAATAATAAAATAACGCGACTGGCCTATAAATCATTTAACGTGGCGTTAGGCGTGCGATTTTTTTTTTCGCTACCGACTGTGTCTATACTGGAAAAGGCAACGCGTTGAACGGAAACTTTCGTTTTTATGACCGGAAAAAAATACCATGATTTGTTAACTCCGTTTACAACGGCCGTCCGTGCGAATGAGTGTGTACGTTGTGTGTATTATAATATGTGTTTTATTACCGATTCTTCGATGTTATTGGCTTTCGAAAAAAACGCATTATCAAGTGTTCGTGAACTGGATTATTGTTTACAAGTAACACGAAAATCAGACATTTAACATTAGCTGTGCAAAACGCACACAGCCGCTTAAATGGAAAAGTCCCATTACAGTAACGCTTTTCAGACGCAACGTTATGATATTAGTATTATGTTGTATTAAATATATATTAACGGTTATAGATACTTGATAATAATACGTTATCCACCTTTCTAAAAATTAAAAAAATAATAATAACAATAATGAAAAAAAATCCTCGCGCTTTCACTTTAATTGTGAACATTATGCAATTATCATTCAGACCTTGAACTGTTATCTGCTAGATTTAAAGCTCTGTCATTAACAAGACGTGTTCGATATTATGTATTGAACAAATACACACACATAAGTAATGTGCGCCTATATAGTAGATTGAGTCAAACGGACAACTAGTTTACAACATCGGCGAGCGCGTAGAGCACAATGCGTCAAAGGAAATAATAGATATATATTTTATTATACATGGGTCAAGTCATACTCGAATTACTTACTTGATCCGACAACATACATTATAGTGTCCCGCCCGAGTTTTAGTTCTGTCGACACACTTCGGGCACGATGTGCTTGGCAATGCGAGCCAACCGAATATACTGAAATACTATAATGTATTTGCACAGCGTACGCGAAACGCTTATGTTCAGTGCACTTCAAATTCAACTTAGGTACACATTAATTTGCGGCAATAATTATTTATTTTAAAGGTCCATCAATGACAAGCAATAGTACCAGCATAATTGTAGGTAGCCCGTTAAAAAAAACGCATTGAAACTAAACAGTAAACGCTCTACTCGCTTGGGCGCCGCCGTCAAAAATAAAAAAATAGAAAACGTCGGCACCGCGTTATCGGTAAGACGCTCCCAATACCGCGTTCTAATAACTTTTAAACGTGTGTGCCTTCATGTATATATATATATAATGTAGTATTGTATGGTATAGTTATTAATATTATATATATATATATAAAGACACTTTTATATAGCTCCTCCGACAGAATCATACCCGGCGTGAGAACGTAGGCGTTTTGAAAGCCTCCCGTACTAATGATACCTAATAATATATTCACGAAACACACACCGCCACCGATACACCTATATTACACGTATAAATTAAACGATAATTTCCGGTAGACAGAATTTTAAATTTAACGCTGTCGTATTACTCTAATAGGCAGGTACACGCGTATCTCGCGAATGCATTTATAATATTATGTTTCAATAACAACGTGAAATCCGAGGTATTATACCACGTCTATTTAATATATAAAAATAGTTACCTATATACGTTTTAAGCAATAATCGTGAGCGTGTTTAAATTTCAAATCGGTTTGCACTATTCCATATTATAATATAGATATGAATATATTTTATCAAATGGCCCGTGCAAAAGACAGCACACGTTTACGTTATATGCGTCCAGCATATATTTTTTTAGCCTTATATTTCTCTTTCATTCTACATCAGTTTTCATTACCAATTTTACTACCCTATGGCCTATTCTCGATATCTTACCTCATAACATGTCTAAGCCATCTCAAATACCTTAAACATAATCAATAATATATCTTTATTATCATTTTATACACGTATAGAATAGGTTGAGAATTCGTTGAGTATATTTTTGATTTTTTAAATAAAAATAAAGTAGTAAACATACATCTGAATTGAAAAAAATATACGAAATTCATAAAATGTAAAATAAAAAAATAAGGTTAAGATTTTTAGTGTCCATAAACATTTTAGTTACATACTTTTTTGCGTACTTCATGCATGAAACTTGCAATCATCTCGTTTTACCGCATAGTACCACCGTCTAATAATAATGTTCAAACTATAGGGCAACGACGGTAGCGCATTACCTGTCGTGTTTATTTATTTTATTTTTTATTTTAATTTATGTCTGTTATACCGGTAAAATATTATAAATAATAGGTACAGTATAATTCTACTCGCTAAAACCAGATGAGTCATGTCGGTGAAAGACTTTCACTTAATGCGTTATTTTAATTTTCTGGTTTCAGCTCAATCCGGAACATCCGAATACTATGGTAAGTATTTGGGCCCTTTGAAGTCTTACCTCCACAAGTTGGGCGGAGACGTGTACGCCGTAGACGCCAGGACATTGCACGTCAGGAATTTCATGTACGACGGCAAAGGACCGGGTAAGCATGATGCCGTTTAACGTTTTAGACAAATATTAACTTTACAAACTGTCCAAGCACGATTATGATGTCTTGAAAAAATTATTCAAACGGAAATAATATCACACGTGAAAAATACATGGCAAAAACCTGCACCCGGCCCGATTTGTGTGACTCGTTCTTAGCATTTCTCCAACAAACCAATCAGTATAAAATTCGCTTTTTGTGTAATCCTCGTCATACTATGTAATAAAGCGACAGATAAAAATATATTTTCTTTACTTTTTAGTCAGGCCAAACGTAGGCGGGGAAGTTGTAATTTTTTTTTTTTTGGGGGGGGGAGGGCAATTAATTTTGGCTAGATAGAAACAGCAGATTAATATTTTACTGGGCATTAACATTCAACGACTCGTTTTAGTCATCACAAAAGTGTTTGCAATGGTTTTAATAGATATTTTTTTATATAACGTTCGCCTATAAACTCGATACCACTGTCTTTCTGAGCTGAGTACATTTTCCCCCAAGTAGCTTATTCAGGAACAGGATTATATACACAAATAGCGGATTGATCCTATTACAGCACTCAGAGTGCACTTTATGGTTAGTTATATTTGTTTTTAAATGGTTAAACAAACACGGTGGTCGGTAATGTCGACATTTCAGAACAAGCCAAATAAGTGAATTAATACGGGACATGCACATTCAAAATGTTTCCATTGAATTATTTATTGGCCAAGTTTTTTTTTAAACCATAGTCTATTATAATACGCACTTTGCCTCTATATTTAGTTTGATCACGCGCAAAATGTGCAACTACATTGTTAAAATATATTTCTAATGGATATTTCATTCCGAACTTATTTCTATAGGGAGAGGAAAATAAACGGATTACCGGCAATAATAGTAATTATAATTAAAGTCAAAATTTATATTATTCTCGGCTTGCGATCCGTGCCTCAACTAACCCACAGCGTCAACTAAACGATTTCTATCGGTACTAAAATCGATTATTTTCTATAGTTAATACCATGAGGGATCCGGGTAAAACTCCAGCCTAAACTTATATTTATATTTAATTTACAAAGTTAATTTTGGTTAATACTTAAGAGTATTCAATATAAGTCTTAGCTGATTAATATAGTTAGGCACTCCACGCACTAACGTAACAGACCTAAAATATAACTTGGTAGAATCGTATACACAAAATGTTAGTGTTTTCGTCATTAATGAACGTTAAACTGTTATTACAGCCGCCTATTTTTATGGGTCCAACGGGAAAACGCCTGATGTCAACGGGTTCAAGATTCGCGATGAAAGAGCGTCGTGAGTACCTTTAGAGTTCAATAGATATCGCGTTACAAAAATGATAATATATTTTTTTCGCCTTTCCAGTACAAATCCCTTAAAAGAATATAGAGGCGAACACTTGACGATCACTCTGCCCGACGGTATGACTCTACACGATATCAAGTGGTTTTACGTTTGGTGCGAAGACTTTGCCGTGAGTATATTAGATATTATTGTCATTATACAAAAATACATTAGAAGTCGTATACTATTATATTACGTGCAGCGTCGTGGTTCACCAGGGGAAGCAATGTCAGTTCACACTACGGCGGTCATGGCATAACCGTTATACCAACGCACTACACAGAGCAACTATGTGCATTATAATATTGTTATTATTATTATTATTATTATACATTTAGATTACGGTCATGATAAAAACAAATCCATGGTATTCGGCCAAAACGTAACGGTAGCGGTTACAGCCGCCGTACCACTTTCTCCCCTCTGTCTGACGGCAGGCAACTCATATGGTGTATAGGTACGCGTCGAGAGAGCTCCGAGAGTTTGTGAAGAGTTGCCTTAATGAAACTATATCAAATTTAAAAAAAAAAAAAACACTAGATCCGACCCGTCGCATAGTAATTATTGGGCTTTCTCGGTTGGCGGGTATAGAAATTTATTATTTGACAACGGGTTCCGAGTGTGCCAAACTCAAACAAAAACAACAACAACGCATTAAGTATACCGGTCGGGGCGAGCGAGCGAACGAGCAAATGAAAAACAAACATATCTTATATTAAAAAACAATCTAATACTTAATAGCACATTTCACAAATTGTTTTCTATCAACGCCAAATATCTAGTTCCGATATAGGAAGTGCCAGTAATCTATCAGCGTACGGCTATAATGAATATAGCCTTAGAAAAGCGCCGCTGCTGGCAAAATACTCATGTACTTAAGCCCCTTCGCCAGACCTTCCCGGCGACCGTGAGCAAGCATATTATAATCATTATATTACCGACGGTGAAATTACAAAAAACCGTTTACGGTCGTCGTACGCTCCATAACATATATATATATATATACATATTGTGTTGGACGCGAAGGTACCAATACTTCTAAATGAAATAAGGTTACTTATCTAATGGTTTTAGTTGAATTTTGGAGACGTGAAAATTCCTTACAACTTGGACTACCCGAAACCGCAGAAGATCGATGCTTTGTCCGGAATCCACGGCGTTTCGTCAGACAACATAGTAGTGGTCGATGCCCAGACTTTGTTGATTCCAGGATTTTCCTACGATGGCGAAGCTCCCGGTAAGTTGCACGAAAAATCGGGTTGGCGTTTAATAATATAAAAATTGATTGGTCGTTTAAAAAAAAAGTCAATTGAAATTCGTAGTACAGTAGTTTGTATTATACTTTCAACCTGATACTTCTCAAAATGCTCCATTGCTGCATTGTTTGCTATCGAACCATTTGTCGATGGTACAAAATGTATTATACTATATCAGTAAATCAGTTTTATTATATCAGTAAAAATCATTGTAAAGAGAAATAATATGCTTAAAGTTGTACTTTTAGTGTGAATACGATTAGGGTTTACACATAGCAACTTGGGCATTTAAAACAGTCAGTGTTTTACACTTTACAACTTTTTTAGAAAATTCTAGATGTTATTTATGAGAAATAAATAAAAATAAAAAACACATCATTATGAAGTAACGTACAAATTAACTACGCTTAAATAAAACAATAGCAACTGAATGCGATTGTTTTATTAAAAATAAGTAAATACTAAGTCTAAAATTATTTATTACTAAGTTAATAAGTAATTCACAAAATAAAGTAAAAATAAGCTGATTCAGATAAAAAATACTATTTTGAATTTTACGGGATTAGACATTTAAAAACGATTGTGTTATGGTCATGACAAATTAACACCGGTAACAGCTAATCAAATTAAAGTTTTACTTAAAAAATAATTAAAATGTAAATCTAATGTAAATTTATCACTCACAATCAATTATTGTAATATTGTAGTATTTGTTAGCATAACTGCAAATACCACCCTAAACATTTTTTTACGAAGTTGCGAGAATATAATCTGCAGTATTAATAATTTATTGAAATTAAAACGTTTTTTAATGGGAAATACCCTTAATTCTGGTTAAATTACTTTTTTTTTAATATTCGTACTACGAACTAAGATTATTAAATTATTATTATTAAAACGAAAATGAGGTTTAATACGATTTTGATGTTAAAAACGTTGAACAAGCCTGGCGATATAACCCTGGCAACCAAAAGATAGACACTGGTTGTTTCATCATTAAATTTAGAACTAGACCAAAAAATACCGGACTAAAATTGAACTTTTGATATTATTCGTATTGTTTGAGAATAATATCAGAGATTTAGCCAAATCCAAAACACGATCAAAGTTATATTATATTAGAGTTAATGTTAGACATGTAATAAAGTTTGTTTCGAAATAAAATTAGCCTGGGGGAGCCCTGTATATATTTTTACAGCCACATTTGATCCAGCCTTCTATATTGTGGTAAGTTCTTTTTTTTTTTTAAACCTATAACCCGACGTTAACAGTCTCGCCCGCTCTGGTTAACATTCCGAATTACCCGTCGTCGTGTTAACCAATGTATTCTATACGCATAAAGCCATTGGTCACGCAGCCATGACCTTACTTTCTGGTCATATAATCCAATAAGTCGTGTTATCCATGTTACAAACTAATTCCTACTTTTTCCACGTAGGATAACCGTTTACCCTACATAGTCGCCTGCTTGGCCAATAGCTATGACATCGGTGTACAAATTCATTAATTATTCCAATTTAAATTATGACAAAATTTTAATTGTAACAACTCATTAATTAATTAAAAATGTTTAATTCTTAAACTGGATCATAATTTTTTTATTAAATCATTATTCACTTATCAATATTGTGGACGTATTATTTTTTCAAACCGGATCATATAAATTTATTAGATACATTTTTTGTACACGTTTGTGTCATAACTATCATTATTTGTGAACCGAGCGGTATTATATAGCATTTATGCTACAACATAGAGTGCATCTTAAACAGCACCCACTTTCAAATTTAACCTCGGGCCAATTATTTCATTTGTAATTGACATTTTATTCGAAAAGGTGTTTAATTTGAAGGTTATTACTTAGCTATATAATTTTCAACACTTAGTTTAACAGATAATCTACCACCTGTATTAGTAACGTCTGTAGTATGAAATATGCATGTGAGGTATATATATCTTAAAATATCGTCTGCCATATTATTACTGATATTGCCGCAAAATTATGCCATCAATCTATTTTGAACTTAATTTTATCACGCGAATACCTTAAACACTTGAAACACTATAATAGTTTTACTAACAAAAATATTTTGTACGTTTTAGATGCAAAATTTTGGGTTGGCGCCGGTGATAAACCGACTCCCCAGGGATTGAGAGTATCAGACGAGAACGGTAAAGAAGTACCGTTGCGCCGGTACAATCGCAAGACAATCGTGCTGACATTACCTGGCGACTTGACCATGTTTGACATCGGCCATTTTGGCGTGTGGTGCGAGGCGTTTACCGTAGACTTTGGTCATGTGATCATACCGTCCAATCTCAATGTGCCTCCGTCGTTGAAAATGCTCGGCGTCCTCCCGCAGGTCAGTACGCTATTGTAAACCGGAACTAAATTACTTAAACAGGGCCCATACGCTGGCGATCTCTGGCAGGGAATCCGAAACTGCTGGTCAATGTTTTTTTTCTTATTTTGTATACGAACCTCTCGTAAATAATAATTAGGGTTGTATCATAGTGGTTTGGTCGGAACGTTTTTGCTCGGAGATCGCTAATGTATGGATCTATACGCAATTTAGACCAGATTGAATGGGGAAAATCGTATAGACTTTTAAGATAGGATTTTACTACGAGTTAAAGCTGTTAAAAAAACCGTTGGCGCATTCTCTCGGGTAATTGGGTGTGGCGGGTCAACGCGTTATGACTTAAAACAGTAATGGGTACGATATGAGATGTGACAATGCTAGCCTTCTGCCAGCCTCGCCAGAGTATGAACCCTTCGAGTTGATACGAGAACTCCAATGAACCAGCTGCGGGAATGCCGTGTTACAGAAATCTCCGACGGCCTTAAGACCAACTACCAAACCGTCGGGACAGCAAGCCACGACCGGCAGCAATGCGGCCTCTCAGCTAATCCAGGCGCCGACCACGTATAAACCACCGGCGATAAAGCTTCCCAGTCGACCGCAGCAAAATCCGCACAGACAACGTCCGCAATGACCGCTCTATTAATTTTAAACGTTTCACCCAATATACTATATTATATTTTAAATAAACCATAATAATTATGCCGCCCATATTTATAATGGGGTGATATCAAAATAAATACAAATTAAGCGTACATTATTTTTTTAATTTGTATTTGAACTGCATTATAATACAAAAATAATACCTATTATAGTACTGTTTATGTTGTACATATCTACTTATGCAACGCATTTTTTTTGTTCTATCGTCGCGCATCAGTCGTTTTGCGGCCATCTTTGTGTTTTTGTTTTTATTTTGTTATTTTTTCACTTGTGAGATAATAATCTGCATAAAACAGCCATCGCCAAAAAAGAAGATTCACGACGACCGGTTGCCGCCAACACTCCTACGCGGCAACGGCAGCAGACCGGGGAACATTGCGCAACGCAGAAAGAAAACAATAATATAATATAATAATAATATTAATATTACCGGCAACAGGAATATAGTATAATATACGTACAGCAAAACCGTGTATGACCTTTGAGGCCAATTACACGCGCGGTTCGTCTTCGACTATTGTGTGCGGATTGTACACTTTCTTTTCCCGCGACCCCACGACCGACCGACCGGCGCATTACAAATATCGCAGTGCATTTGATTAAATCGTCGTGTTTTTTTATATTTATATTTATTTACAGCTAATCGCATGCATAACACCGTTTCCCCGAGTGTATGACATGAGATCCATTTGTTAAACGAAATACCAACAACCTCTAAAAGGGCGCCGAAGATCGTGTAGTCCCGCTAATTTATTATACACTACATTTATATATAATATATTCAATTCTCCACCGTGTAACGATATTGCGTAAGCCTGCCGAGGAATGTTTTTCGATTTCATCGACAGCGACTCGGTACAAATAGCGATGATCGTTTAGTATACGGCTTGGGCATATTTGTAGTGCAACGAAAACTACACACGGCAACGACTCTCACGCCGTGGCGTCAACTGCAATAGAGCCTTGGTGCGTTAAGGGTCTACGACGTCACGTCGGGTTGAATGCACTTCCAAAGAAAGAACAAAATATTGACAATTTAATTACAAATTATAGGTTTTTGAATACCTACGATTGTCGAGAAACTGGTCGGACTACTATACTCGACGGAGGTTGAACGTCTTGCTTTAGTCTTAAAGCTTAACTGTTGCGCTTAAACGCGGTCAAAAGCATTCCCGACCCTTATGAACTAATGGATTTGCACCTTAATAAAACTCATCCAACCGAGAGCGCTGAATGAATCCTGGGTGTATCTGAAAAAAATCTTTTACGCATCAATCAGTCCTCGTTATTTCACTCCAATAGTTTACAATGCGAAATAGCCCTATTATAAGCACACAATCAGAGTAACTTTTCACGCTCCACCTCCAAAAGTGTTCGAGTAGAAATTATCGGTAAAATCCAAATTCAACGTACAATACTAGACAGCATAATTTTAATGCATTTCGTCAATTATTGATACCGTCCCACCTGTATTATACACAGAAAACGGCTTGGGTTGAAATTTAAAAATCGCAAACGTCAACTTTGCACGCATATATGTATAAGACGTTGACAGTAGTGTGTCATTTGATTGATTAGGTTTCCAGTAGAATATTTTAACGTTTATTATTACAACTCGGCCAATTTCATCGAATTCGATCTTAAGTTCTAAAATCGTCAGCATAAACATTAAACCAAGTATACCTCACAGAAATATTGTTATTAAAGTTATTTAAGGGCCTCTACTCCTACGTTTTTATCATTGAGAACAGCTAATTCTCGTTATTAGACCCAAATGTCTGATTTTATGATAAAAATGTTAGAATTAAAAACCTGGTCATTATCGATTTTTTGTGAAAAATAACTTAAAAACTTTAAGGGTAAATAGGAGTGATAAAAATTTTAAAAAAATGTTAAATGCATTATATTAGACCAAAAGAAGGTTAAAACAAAATTTCGAACAATTTTGAGGAGGTCGGGGGTCGATGATTGTGTGGTATAATGTAAGGGTTAAGGCTCTCTACACAAGTATTTATTTGAACGCATTTTAACTTATTGTTAGATTAAGTGAAAAATTCCCCATACAATGCGCTCAAATAAATACTAGTGTAGACTACCCCTTAACCTCAAACACCTTTACTTTATTAGTACCGTTCATTTTTATAGTATTTTTTTTTTATTACGTTTTGGTAGCTTTTTGTATTTTTCATCCATCGAGTTAAAAACATCAAATTTAAAAGTATCGGGTATTCGATTTAAAAAGTTTTCCTTTTTTATTTTCGCAACTTTAACTTTGTACTTTTATCGTTGCCATCAAATTACATCCGATAGATTTAAGCCCAAGACGTATGACACCGTACACATTTAAAGTAAGTCTGTGCTTTTTATGCAGATAAACACTTCAACGGAGTTAAGCTATCCTGCATCAATTTGTTTTGAAAAAAATATATTTTTTTTCATTACTAAACATCATTTAACTACCGATTAATTTCCTACTGAAAATTTGTTTTATACTTAAAAGAAAAAACGGTACAATGATCCGAGCACAAAAACACAAACGCTCATTAATAATGTTTCGTGATGCTTTTGTTTATATACGTACAATGTACATATTGTATAATTGTATATAAATTGCAAATAAAAGAGAACATTTTTTATTTGAACAAATTTTTGTTCACTATCGCATACGTTTTTTTTTAATTGATAATTTTCTTAGTCGTTCATGAACAACTTGGCACATTATCTAGTGTTGTGTTTGGTAAATTTTCAACAAAGCGTTATCTGTTATCGAGCGCTTTGAATAAATAAAACTAATTGAGAAAACCGTGGTGGTTTTTAAATCTATATATATCTACTAATGGTTATGCAATATCTCATTAAATACACAGACATACTGATAATCTGATTTTTTAATTTATTATTTATGAGATTTTTAAAATAAAATTAGAATCATACAAGATATTATTATAAAGAGTAACGAATAAAGTTATTCCACAGATAAAAATCTATTATACGAGAATAAATACATTAGGTATTCGTCGAATTAAGTTATTTAAAATATACCCAACTTGAGTGTAACTATTAAATGTAATATTTAATTACCAACCAATTGTATACAATATAATGTTAAAATGATTTGATAATAATATTGTGTTTATTCTTCAGTCAAAACTCAATTGTGAAGTACTTCACGAACCTTTGGGATACGAGGTCAGATGGGCAATCGCCGGCGACAGCATAGTAGTCCAGTTAGTGGCCAAACTAGGTAATTAAAAACATAATATATTAAATAACTAGTAATAACTATTTAAGATGTATTGATTGGTCCTACAATTAATAAGATAAATAAACTGAATATTTTCTTCTCTCCATAACCCTCTATCTACTACACTCACCTCTAAGTCTTTATTTTTTGGAAGTTAATTATAAAAACTAATCATTATGCCAATACGACAATAGGCATATTTTAAACGATAATAGAATTTATACACAACTTTTCTGATCGTTAAAAAGTCATAATAATTATGTTAACACGTTGGTGGACAGGCCAAATTCGGTTTTTTCTAAAAAGCCATCCAAATTACATCACTTTTTTTGACATTTTGCTTACGGTTCTTACATTACTGCTATAGCAGTAAAATTTTAAAAGTGTCTCCGGCATCAATTTTTGATATTACTGCTATAGCAGTAATATTTGCCTATTGTCCATCAACGTGATTTAGATCGACAATATTGAAAATGGCAACTTATTTATAAATATAATATTCGTATTCCATCAAACTGTATAGTACTACATTTTAATTTCTCCTGAATTCCATTTGTTAACTTTTTATTTAGATTGTTACTTTTCCGTCTTACTGCAAAATGATCCTTAATATAAAATAAGATTTATGAATTATTTATATGGATTTTTTTATATTCTATTAATATATTTTCTTTATTTTTGGAACTTAATGTAAATATTATGATGATTAATTCCTAATCGTATTAATTTTTGATTACGTAAACATGTCATATTATTAGGATTAAGATACGGTGAAATGAGCAGACATTTTTAGATTAGCCTACCTAATCGAAACGAAAGTTATCTTTTATCACGGTATTTGACATGCATAGATGCGGTGTTGGTGAGTTGCGGCCCACTCCGTAAATCAAGTACGAATTGCGGCCATATAATAATTATCACTTGGCTGAGATGTCTCCGAAAAATATGTTTTTTTGTCAAGTTTTTAAAATTATGTTAATGACTGATGAGATGTAGTATTATTTTTATCTGTGCGCATTATACAACAGCACATCTCCTCCCGTCCTATCTTTTACACTCTAATAACTTTAAAAGTAACGAGATCACATAATATAAAAACAATGCGAAAATAAAAATTTTAATACGTCCATCGAAAACTGACGGGCCGCAATTCACGGGTTTCCGACATCGTAAACAATACCTTGGGCCACAACTCACCTACAGCCCATAGATGATGTGCCTAATATAAAAAGAAATTTTATGCGACATAATATTAAACCATCTGCCAACTTTCGTATATGTTTTTTGCCCTTTGGAATTTTTCAGTTCATACTAAGAAATGCTCAAATTTCTAATTCAGTCAGATAAAACGCCAATTGGTGATTAACTTACCCTCTACAATACACTAATTTTAAAATTATTTTGGTTATTATTATCTACGGTTTCCGGTTGTATTTTTATATTGTTAGTTTAACGTTTGTTGTCACTGATAACCTATCTTAGACGAAAATAAAATGTAGTCGATTCAAATCAACTTTATATAATAACGTTATTGTTACTTGTCTCAGTACCAAGTTAATATTTAAATACGAGTATGTAATTATACGTATAGTATTGTATCAAAACTATTGTTTTATAAAAAAACAAACCCTATATAAAACGGTACAGATCACAAGTATATGATCACGAGTGAAGCTATTAGAAAGGCAGTACAATAAGTATTGCTCAAATAATTATTTGTTGTTAACAATCAGTTACACCAGTCACCAACTAAAAGTTGTATTAATAAATTATAAAATTCATTATACAGTCTCACTTGAAACTAACTCTGCTACGGCACCGATTTCACGTGAATATTTTATTATAAAACCCATTTACCTAATCGCGATAGTCATTATGGAAGCTGTCAAAGATTCTTGGATCTTCATATCAAAGCTTAAAACTTGAAATCCATTTAATATTTATTCAATTAACAGGAAAATGTCTGAAGCCATACTATTAATAATAAATGGCACGTTACTTTTAAATATTTATTTCTATTAGTTATTTGCCGAACATTTCCGAAATCATTGCCCGCCGGATGTCGGTAAAGCGTTAAAAAAGTTTCAAATATTCAAGAGTTTTCAAACTACACTTTTGTTATAGTTTTTGTTCTATGAAACGCGTTTCAAGTATGATATAAAGTTGCGTCTAGAGCTAAAATCGATATATAATAATTATGTTTTGAGTTTTCCATTAAAATGAAAGCATCTTGATTAAAGTTTGCAATTTAAAATAAGAGAGAGATAACAACACGACAACGTTAAAATATGAGCCGTTTGTTAATATTTCTGCGATTCTTACCATACCTACACCCAGTAGAAAGAATAATAATAATAATAATAATTGAAATACATAATATATAGTATTTGTGAATGCATTTGTTACGCTCTTGAATTTAATTTTACTTCACGCTCACGACACCGAAATAATCGTCTTTCGACCTAACATTACAATATTGCAAAATCTTGGCATATCACGAACGTTGTTATTTTTGTACGTTTTCGAGAATAACAATATGCGATTTCATACTTTTATTTGTAAGTATAACATAGTATAATGCGGTACACGGTACGTGAGTTTTAAATCGAAGGAACCAAAATTCCAACAACGTGATATTCTATCGCTACAGAAATATATGTTTTAATAGATTCCACTGGTCAAATGTGGGGTTTTGCCTCGCTGACAGCGCAATTAGAACACTGTCAAGATTGTATTACTTAAAGATTAATGTGTTTTTAAACAAGTATATACTAAACGACGCCGATTTATCGAAAACAGCAGTTGAACCGCTTAAGGAAAATATTAAACCTGTACAGTACCTTCGTCGTATATTCCAAGAACCTTTTAAATGCATTAGTCTGTCAAACTTAAGATCCGATACTCTAACGAACAACATATTCCAACAGTATCGACTGTCAAATCAGATAACGAATCCAAAGAGTTTTGTTTCTTTTTTCATTTCATCCTAACACGATAACTGTACAAATATATAGATTATCAACAATGGTAGTTAAGTCTCTTTCTATTATTATTATTTACAGAAGCCAACCAGTACATGTCGTTCGGTCTGTCAGGGTCATCTCTGTCCAATCGTATGGTTGGCGGTGACGTAGTCGTGGCCGGCGTGGACCAAGATACCACCAGCGGATTTGCACAAGATTACTATTTATTAGACAAATCACAGTGTGTAGTACAACAGGACAGCGGACAAGTCAGTGGAAGTTGTCCAGATTCTAATATTCAGGTATAGGAATGCAACTTTTAATATGTTTCAAACTTGATTATTAGTTACATACTTTTACTATTTTGACCTCATTAATAAGGCCAAATTAGTTGCTATAAGACGTTACTTTTTTAAGTTAATCGGTAATTTCGTCCGACCGTTCTGGACTGAAACCTGATCTGAAATTATATCATTGATATTTTCTATAAAATTTGGCCGGAACTTGTACACACTTCTAATTCATGTTATAATTATTTAGTTAAATAAGTAGACAGACTGGAAAGAGTTAACAGCGATTAGGTTAGATACCTCAGAGTAACTTCATTATCAGTAGGTATACTGGAATTTGTTTGGATTTCCAAACAAATTTATTAAACTTATATTTATAAGGGAACGCGATGCGCCGACGTGGTTTTCCCGAATTCGTTTTTTTATACTGCCTCATATTTGTACATTCTTAAAATATTTATAGGCATGAGTAATCATGTTTAGTATTTACACATCACTACCGCGAGGGATCAAACCCCAACTTAAGGACACATACACAGACACACTTTTGCTACGATTCGGGCTTAAAGTAATAGGTGCATAACAGGAAACTTTTCAACAATTCTGAGGTAAAACAAAACTAGTTAAATAGCGAAAACTCCAAAATTCCACATACACACATATATATATAAATAAATTGGATTTTTGGTTATATATTTAAAACTTTTGTTTTTAAAAACAAGAAAAATGACTCTTATGACAAAAATACCATACTTTGGAGTTACTATTATTCGACTAAGTTCGTAAAACGTGTAGTTTTTTTTAACTTGAATAAGAAAAATAGTATTTGTAAACGACGTATAAAGATGTTTCAAAACGCTATTTTATTAAAACACGCACAACCAAGCCATACAAATATTCGAGGGTTAATATTAAACAGGATATCATAATATTGTGTAGAGGACTTACTGGTCCGATATAAACGTTTATAATACCGCAATGATAGGGTGCATTTGCGGAAGACACAGTTCTTTTTAATTAAGGTTAAAAGTTATCAGTCGACGTCAACCGCCAAACAGATACGTTGTGATGATAACGAGCGTTTTGTTTTAGGGTCCGGCCGGCGAAAGTGTCCGACTGTTGAATGCGGCCATAGTCAACGGATATTCCATAGTGACCTATCAGCGGCCATTGAAGTCGAAAGATAATCTCGACCTGTCCATATCGATCAACAACAGTCAGCCGGTGATTTGGGCAATAGGGCCACTCAACGACAAACACGAAGTGTCTTATCATCCGGAATACTCGAAAGGTATGTTACCCGTCACCAGTAGGACGTCGCCAAAGATGAACTTTATTGTGCAACGTTTTATACCTACTCTATTATAATGATACGTGCTGGATATTATATATTCGTGTCTTGGTAAAAAGAAAAACATCCTACAAAAGTATTCCTATTGTTGTATTCCAAGACAATAGACGTTGACACAGCAAGATTCCTTCTTCGATTCGAATACATACCTATACCACATCAATACGTTTGTAAATATATTTCTTTTTTTCGCCTATACTGATTCGCATAAATAACATAAGGATGTTTATCCGATTGAATCAACCCAGTTTTCGGTTTATTATATAATACTATCCTAGCAACAACTTATAGTTAAGCCAATACCAGTTTTGCAAAGCAACAGCTCTAATAGTAGGTCTATTGTAAGGTAGAAAATCTGCATCCACACATGCATAGATTTTGGTTAAATATTTTGTTAACTTTGAACTTGGTCAATGGGTATTAATGACATTTAAACGAATGCTAAATAATCCACCGCATCTTCATGTACCAAAAATTTAAACCTCACTTTTATTATTATTATTTATTGATTGCCAAACCATTTTGTAATTGTAAAATAACTGGATAGGCGCTTTTAAACCTATAGCATTCTACAATAGGCAATTGTTGTATAATTTACTGTGATTGAGTAAAATGAAAACCTTAAAGTATTTAATTTCCTAAGGCAAATCAATGCTTACAATAGTTAGGAATTGTTTTTTTATTTATCATTAAGTAATGTATGGAGTAATAATAAATAGAAAGTTATGTTCGGAACACTTGTCAATTAGTGTTTGTAGACATAATCTCGGAGGGAATGTATTATAAATTATTTTTAGTGAGATAACTAATTCAAGTAGAATTTACACTTTTACTAGTTACCTGTTTTTGATAGATAGAATTCACAGCCGTCCGTTTATTCGATATGTGTGTAAAATGAAAAACGTCTGCGGTATCTAATATACTCTGCGGTGTCGATACAGTTATTACTATTATAATATATTCTAAGTCGAGTTCTTATTTATGTATTTTATTTTTTTTTTGCACAACGAAAACTTATATTATTGCTTTCTGCGGTATATTGCGATTTGAACGCAGATGACTGCGGAATTTACATTTGCAAGTAAAAAAAAAAATACACTATAAAATATTGTGCACACATAACATGTCAGGGCAGAGAAAAACATCATAATTTTTGAGCTTATACCCGCTACTTAAGAGTGTCATAAAAACCGCCTTTTAATTCGCACGCGCGTTAAACTATTATAATTTATGACTGTCACCTTTTTTTTATCATTTCTAACAATAAAAATATAATATTACATTGTATTAGGTGTTTTAATTTAAATGAAAATACTGTTTTTAGAACATTTATTTCGTACTACTATTATTTTATGTTTATTTTTTTTTTAGAAACAACTAAAATCAACTTTGGCCGCTTACCGCAATGGAACTGTCCCATACCGGACACTGACGCCAAATCCGTAGCAGTAGCCACGGTAGATGTGACTTCGGAAAGCGTACCGGAATCTACAAAAGGCCAGACTGCAATTAAAGAGGTAGAAAAACAATAAAAGTATATTTGACGCTAAAAAAACGAACCGCTATATATTATAATAACTGAATTTTTCTATAGGTAACGCCGACTAAGAAAATTCGACCCCGACCGGTCCCTAATCCGGCACCCGTTCATAATTCTTTAGTACCCTGGGAGATACCGCCTATCCAGTGTTATGAGCCGGAAGATGGGGTTTTCTACGCACAAATGGGTCCCACAGGAGGAAAACACGGTTATCCCGCCATTACAGGTCCTTTTATATTTTTGAACTTCTATGCTTTTTTATAAACAGATTGATTTTTAGTGAATGTCGCACTATTTGGAACAAATAGTCTAAAATAAACAACTAAATGATTTTTGTAAATCTTGTTTTCATCTTCAACCTATTTGTTTCATTTTTACTTATCAATATTACATTAAAACAATTTGAATAACTCATGATACAAATGATGTTTCATCAAATTGTAATAAAATATGTCACTCAAAATATTTTTTTATTATCATTAATATTTTAATTTAAACAAAGATAAAAAATGATATGAAAAATGATGAAAAGATAAACAAAGATTTACAATGTAATTTCAACTTACATTGTAAATGTATTTAATTTTATGAATACAACCTTAATTTTGAAATAAAACAAAAAATATCTAAACATTTTTTATTTGTTCGTTACACAAAGTATGATTCCATATAATGAGATGGACGATGGACTTATATCAATATTATGTATTGGATGGTCTACATCAAATTTACTTATACTGAACGAAAGTCTCTTTTTGTATAGGCCACGTCGGCTGGGGAATTTCTTGGTACATAAACGGTTTGCTGATACCTGAGATAAACGTTGTCAGAGGACAAACATACACGTTCGTCGTTGAAGGAGGATTGGATCCGGAAATACCTGCGAAATACCACCCATTTTACATTACTGACGATCCCGTCGGTGGTTACGGATATAAAACGCCAGAAGAGAGAGCGGTAACTAATAACCAATTTAATTTTCAATTGCTATACGCTTGAGTTTCTAACACACTTGCCGTTTATAAATTGCTTGACTTTGGTTGGAAACACGCCTCAAATTACGACTGAATGATCTCTAGATATGTATATTATAATTAATGTTTTTGAAACTCGTAATCAGAAAAATCGAAAACGTAATTATGTTTTGTATTTATTATTTTTGTTCGGTTGGTAAAACAGAATTTCAACCGCGGAATGTTTATTCCAACTATTAAAAGTTAAAACAAATAAAACATTTAAAATATCCCACCTATACGTAAGGTGTCACACATCTCCTAGACTTCTCTTTGGAAAAACTCACCTCTTAAATATCGGGAGGTGTGGCGCAGTGGACACCTCAGATGCCGCGTGGCACTTGAGGTTAAGCTGTGTCCGTTGCTGCTTGATCCCGGATGGGTGACCACCCGGGATTTTTTAGCGGTGACCCATACTATCAATCCCGAATGCAAACCCCATGGCTGAAATGTCATGCACCCCGGCGACCGAACTGGCATAAAATTAGCTATAGCCACTCCAGGTCAATACGCCATACGCATTTTAATTATTTTTACCTCTTAACTGTACTCAACATTACAAATCCATTACCTTCTCGCCTAACAAACATCCGTGGTTTTATTACTCCATTCCCCCTCTCAAGGAAAGAAATGATTTGCTTCACCCGTTTGAGAACCGGACATAACCTCTTCTATACCACGCTTTTAAACTCTCTCTTAACGATTCCCTATTTTGTACTCGTCACGACGATAAATTTGCCTGTAACTTCCCCTACCTGCTCTGGTGTCCTGCTATTTCCCAATTTCGCGCCCCTCTCACAACTCCTTCTTCCTACAAAATTAACCCTTTTGACCTTAATTCTATCTTAATTTAACGGACCATTTTGTATATATTTGTTCTTTTTCACTAATAAACAACTTAAAATGATAATCTGTTTTTAACCCACCAACATTTTATTTGTACAATAAAATATTTTTATACTATATTGTCTATATTATTACTTTTTTGTTTATTAGAACATTCGAATATTTGCCGGAGTGAGTGTAAGTAAAACTGGAGAAATAGTACCTACAGGAATCGGTCGTCTGTGCAACTGGACTCCTGATCCACAACAACCTTCTGCGGATGAATTTGTTTCGTTCGGAGCTTACCAAAGAACATTGAGTTTATCGTGTGACCAAGGAGATCCCGGAATAGTACAATGGACTCCCGACGCCAACACTCCGGATACTGTTTACTATCACGTAAGGGGCCACTAATCAATTTTCTTCAATCTTTGCAGAAACTTTTAGATTTGACCCTGTGATAATCGTATTATGTTTCCACAGTGTTTCACTCATCGTCACTTGGGTTGGAAGATTAACGTTTTGGACTCTTGCGACAAAGAACAACCGGGATCCGAATCAGCCACTTATAGTCAGGAAGACCTACAGTCCAGAGGCAGCATTCAGTACACGACCCGAGTGAAACCGGACAACAACAACTTAGAACCACTCAAAAGTTCAGAGCCCAGCGATGACCACCTAACGCTTATTCCCTCCGTGTTGGAAAACAATTTGAAAAACGATTTCGCCAAAACACAGCACATCAAACCCTTGTACGCCGTTTCCACGCAAAACATCACCCTCTACACTTACCCTACCTCCAATCAGACTTACGGCAACGTACCGTTTTACATGCCACAGTCGCATTACGGAAGTCCGCAACCAATAAGAACGAGCACGCACAAGTACGTTTTACATAACAATAACGTTAACAACAATAATAACAACTTAAACTACAGACCCGTACGGCAGCCAGTGCCTGTACCTTTGCCGAATTTCGCACCCCAGCAAGTGACGCCAAACTTTTACACTCAACCTGTACCCGCAGCGTCAAACTATCATGCACAGTCAGCAACTAACGTACCAACCGTGTTAGATCACCGACGGCCCACCCTGGACTATCAACCGCAATCACAGCAAAACATGTACGTCTACCAGCAGCAACCACAGTCTCAAGTTCCCGTCATGCACGGATACAGGATACCCGGTAAGAGGGTACCTAAACCAGTGGGTCCGGTCCGGTCGGTGGTATACAAAAAGCCGGTACATAAATTGCCCACAGCTACCGTACACCCTTATAACCCTGTACCACCAGCGCCGGGCCCTCTACCCGCTGGCTCTATTCCACAGAAGGTCCGCCATCAACCGCCCCCACAACAACAACAGCCATCATACTCAGCTCAACCCAGCACTTCCGTGTCAAAAACAGTTTCCGTTTCGTATTCGACTTCCAAAAATCCTAACAAACAGAACCACCAACACCATGCACCACAATATGTCCAACGCCAGCACCCGTACCCTCAACACCAGCAGCCGCACCATCAAAAATCGCACCTGCTTATGAGAAACGCACAGGAATTCAACGGAGAAAACGTGGCGGTCGGCAGTGGGTCCGAAAAATTCCGAAGCGGTTTCAATCCAAACACTGTGGTGGTCGAAGGAGGTTTTAAACCGATATTTCCAGATAATTTTTCGCCGGTGGACAGGATAAGCGAAGATAGCGAATCCGAAAGTCCAGACGAACAAGAAACGACGCTGAGTGATGCGCAAGAAGAAGTGACGGAGACTAAAAGAGAAAAGAAAAAAATGAGCAAAAAGTTAATATCGAGAAAACCTACCAAAGAGATACATCATGAAAGTATTGAACAAATTACCACCGCTGAACCGTTTACCGCCGTTGTTGAATTCGGAGGACGACCTAAAACTGATTTTCCAAAAGCCCAACAGGCAGACCATCTCGATACTGTTTAGCGTATTATAGATTATAGATCCCTAGTTTTACAGTATAATTATTTATATTTATATAATTTTGCCATCGTATGTTGTTGAAACAGTCGAAAATGTTTTAGTAAGAAAAAATGATTAGGTATCGCCAACGTGTGCAAGATAAGTTTTTGTTGCCTAAAGTTATGTTTATACTATTATTATTTTGGTTGTAATTAAATAAATTAACAATATGCTATTTTTTTATTCTATATTCGTATGATTTATTTTCTTAATTTAAATATTTTACGCTATCATTTTTTTTACAAACCATCTTGCAGTTAAAACTTACAGTCATTTTGTACTTGTTCTTCCTAATGTTTGAGGGGAGCTTTTTTAAAATATATTATACAAATGTTGATTTAAAACACTTACTAAAATTAAAATTAAAAAATATTTCCACCAATCTATTTTGAGCGTGAAGCAGCTGCGTTTAATAACACCGTTATGTGCGCTACAATTTGCCATATAGCTTTAAATATAATATAAAAACTAAACTTGATTTAAAATGAGATACTATTTGTAAGTATATTAAAATTAGACCTTCAACTTTCGTTTCCCTGGTCTATTGCAATGGTCATTCACGAATATAACAGTTTATTAAATTAGGTAAATCAAAAAAAGACCTAGCAGTTATTACTTATTCCTTAAAACACAGAAACATTGTTTTTGACTGTGACCTGTTCGCTACCGGCACATTTATTAAAGCAGTCTGTGTTAAAATAAATAACGGGAGCCAAAAAGGTACACTATTGATTCATATCGCATTAAGTAATAATTAATTCTATATACAAATTACCTCCATACCTTTTTATCAACTTTAGAAACCGTCTTATCCCAAACATTCAGTCAAAAAAATTATTTTATTAGAGTTATTTACTTGTAGTTATAGTACTTGTAATAATATATAATACATAAGATATTTATACGATGTATTATGTAATGATATACTTCTTTTCCAATTATATTTTTTAAATATTTATAACTTATATACAGCTAAATACATATTAAAACCCAGGTATTGACTTTTGCAATATTTCTCCATAATGTATAAAGAAAAGATTTATATTTAAATATAAAGCTGCAAAAACAAATCGTGATTATGTTGTTGATGAAAATATATTAGACAAATATACATTTTTTAACTGGTTATTTAAGTTTTTAATTTAAATTTTAAATTTTATCATGTAAACCTTTAATTCTACATATTTATTTATGTTATTGCGAGATCGCGACGCAATTAAGTTTAGGAATTTTGTCACAAATATCGATTCATGAACTACAAGTACAAGCTAACAATGGCATAATTGTTTTTTTATTTTAGTTGGAAGTTGTATAGTTACATTTGAGACACTTATAAAAATGAGGCACAAAAAAATAGGCCATTGTCCTTTGGGTGTCTTAATTTTTAAATATTTACGAAAAAAAAATTGAGACACTTAATGGAACAAGGCCCCAATTTTTTTTTGGGCTCTTGTTTTTATAAGTGTCTTAATTATATGTTTAAAATTTTTTTTAAATATGCCAAATATTTTACAAAACTTCTATACATAAAGTATTAAGTAGGGTATGCTCTCTAAAAAAATTTTAATTTAAATCATTGGCTTTAATGTTAATGTTACTTAGCTGGTTGAACACTTTGGTTGGTGTTTCAAAGGCTTTGAGACACGTGTTCTTATCGTTCAATTCAGTTGAAACTTGGCATACTCGCGTTTTTAAAGACAATAAAAAAATGATTAAAATAAGGACCACCTAAATAGGTATATAGTCTGCATTTAAAACCTTTTTATTATTCATTTAACATAACCCCTTAATCTATACAGTGTATAGTTCAGAAAATTAATTAATTCTATATAACACATTAATATAAAATATATTTACCAACAACTATTAAAACAGTTTATTTGAACTTGCAGTATAGTTCTTATTTATTTGTTTGTATGGTAAGTATAGTCACAGTATTCCTTAAAAAGTACGGTTTTCATTTACCTTTAAGGTAATAGTTATAATACAATATATGTACACACACATACATTAATATATTATTATATATTCCTAAATGTGGAGCTGAAATCATTTAAATATTTATAATACTAGTAAAAAATGTAATAATGCGAGTAATACGAGTATATAATTTCATAATAAAATAATAAATATGCCACTCAACATTTTTTTTCAAGTTTCTTCAGTTCAACGAATTTTATATTTTATGTCATAATTATACACTCGCTAAACTTGTTAACGATTTCAATTAAAATTCAGAACTCATTGTCAACGAATAAATCATTTTTTTTTTACTGGAAATTAAAGACCATTTCAATCAAACAATTAATCCACTCTGCAGTAAACGTTCATGATGAATATTATAATTAACATCTCTGCGCCTGTTCTAAGCGGGATGTACAAAATAAAAAAATATTTTCTATAATTAGTAAAAATAGTTAACATAAAAAATACATGTCATTTGTCAGTAAAATAAATTAAAAAATATACTTGTCACAGGAATCATGATAGTTTTGAAAACTTTAACCACGTTTAACAAACTATAAATATATACAATATGCTGTATATCCATGGTTAAACAATGGTATATAATTATAATATTATTAAACCATGATGTCGTTTATTGTTAAGTTACTATTTATAAGTAAATATACCTGTACCATGAATCGAAAACAGATACTATACATTTTTTGGCAATAATGAGACAGATAAATTAATTTATCAAAAGTAACAAAGAATGAACTTTGTCAAATATTATGTCTCGTCTGAGTCAATAAATTCAGGACAGTAAAAAAAATCCTAAAAATGTGTTCTGAGACCACTTTTGTTACTTTTTCTCTAGTTTAGTTAATAGTTCGTGTGAAATTGTATCCACTTAATAACACCATAACAATTAAGTAATTAGATAATAATTATCACAATTCGATATTTAAATCATTTCTGGGAAAAGTGAACCAAGTGCCGAAAACAAATTTGTAGGAGAATAGCCTAAGTGTGCGGTAATCTAGGTTAGATTTGCTAAGTGGATAATGATAGCCATTCTGTAACTGAGAGGCAGAAAGGTCCAAGTTTATACTTTCCGGAAGAAGGAAAAAATTGAAGAAACATCGTATTTTATACAAGTATGAAACAATCAGCTAAAAGTGGACTTGGACCCTTCAGGCTCTCAGGTACACAATTATTATAGCGTTTATCGTCTTTAGATATTTTTAATTATTATATTAATTTTGCTGTCAGTAGTCTATGATAATTATCTGGGTTTGTTATACAGTAAACAATTAGGTTAAATAGGAAAAATATATTTTATCAGTATAGATTAGGCGCGCGCGCAATTGAGAACAAACGCCTTAAACTTATCTACTTATGACACAGTTAATTCAGATGATGTTATTATCTTTTATAATGAATGATCCGGTAGGTAATATAAGTAATTACTATTTACTTTTTTGATTATCAGATTTCAGAATAATAAACCATACCGGTTATGATAAATTAACATAGAAACCAATTTTATTGTTGTTTTTATAAGTACTATATTCAGACACAACACACATTATACTCGTAGTTTGTACACGCGTAAATACATTTTATTGAAATTGTATGTTGTATAAACACGTGAATAACACTTAAAACGTTTTTATGAAAACCAAGGTGATAGAGGCATATTTATAGTTATAAGTTATAACTATGAAAATTAAATAATAATTACATTGTTCTTTTTATTATGTTGGACTTTTTTCTAATCATAAATGTAAAAATGGCGCTATAACTTACTCTGCACTTCATCTGATAATGTTACTGTATGCTCTTTATGGCATCAATGGTAATTACTTTTTATTATTCAATTTTTTTCCACGTCTTCCGCAGAATATGACTGATAAATTGTAGGCTACTTTACATGGGCGAAATTTCAATAGCAAATTTGAAGGTGCTTTAGCTCTGCTTTTTCCAGGTATTTAAATTTGAATTCGAAATAATGGGGTTAATGTTTTTTTGAGCAAGGATATTGAATATCAATTTAACATTTAATCCTAAAAATTTTCCCCCATAATCCCGTTTTACTTTAGAGGTGTGTTTTTTATGAACAAATTTGTGCGTTATATTTCAAATAAAATATTATCCAAATAATCAATTATTCAAGTAACTTTCAATTAATGCAATAGTGATTAAAAAAAAAAAGGATTTGATTAAAAAACACAATTTTGCAAATATTATATAATTCGACTTTGTCTAAAAAGTAGATTATTCAGGGTCTGGTAGAAATCGGAACACGAAACCTCGGCCTTTAGGTTTAAGACGAGCAAGGCTTAGATGAGCTTTGGTTCTAACAGGACGGCGCTACGACCTACACAGCCACTCGATCAATGGCATTGGTGCGCGAGCTCTTCTCGGCCCATGTCATCTCCCTCGGAGGGGACATCAAGTGGCCCCCAAGGTCCCCCAATCTGGCCCCCGGCGATTTTTTTCTGTGGGGACACTTGAAAACTGAGGTCTACACTCTACAAACACCGTCCTAAACACTTGGAAGAACTTAAAACCGCAATTAATGAAGAAATCGCCGCAATTCCACGGGAAATGACGGAGCGAGCTATGCGAAGTTTTTGTTTGAGCCTTGATGCCTGTCTAAGAAAGAAGAAGAAGTCTAAGCAATTTGAGAACGTGCATATGGTTATAAACACAAAAGCCACCGCATATTTATTGTCTTCAAAAATTAATAGCCCAGTGTATATTTCTGTTGAATATATGACTTAACTAAAGTGTTAACAAAATATCTTTATTATACTAAAGTTTCCAAAATTTTTTTAAAAGGAAGGTATTTTTAAAAAAGTATAATTTCTGTACATACTTAAACAATTTACAAGTTTTTTTTAACAATAGTGACATGAAAATAAATTCTGTTCGACCTATGAATAAATATAGCTTTTTATTTTTACTTCAAAAAGGATTTTAATGATATCCAGTTTCTTAAAAATCCAATATAATCAATTATCAAATTGTGTATATAATTTTTCAAAAACCAAAATGATATATTTCACTTAATCAGAATAAACTTTTACTAGTTGGTTAATTTTGAAATGTCATGTTTTTCGTTAACTACACCTATTATTGACTGAACACCACAGATGTATTTACTCGTTTTGGATAGCGGTTTCTGTATTAAAAAAATAATACAATGGAAACATTATTACGGTTGCGTTAACTAACTTAAATCAGTATTTGTTATTGAGCGTTTGCGGATTGAAAATCAAACGAAGCAAATACTATTAAATTTAAAATGTCAATAGTGTATAAGAAATGTGTTTAAATAGCAATAATTGTGATCAAAATAATTAGGATTAGAGGAAAGAAAAACGGAAGAAGTTGTGAATTTAGCATTATTACAGTCACTGAAGCGTTGACCGAGCTCATTCACAAATCTAAAACAAAAATCAGTGCAAACTAATCACAATAAAAATGGCTGGATGATAAAATCACTTAAAAAAAAACACCAAGAACAGTCCGAACAACTATACTTCAGCTGTTATTTAACCGAATATATTTATATGACGTACTATATTATGTTGAACTTTGAAGAATATAATACATAATATAAGAATATAACGTTCACCAGTTTTCAAACTCCAAAAATAAAAACAAATACAAATTAAAATTAAAAACTTCTTTTGGATTTATGATTTAAACAACTATCGGAGTTTTATCCGAGTTTTTGTAACGGATTTAAGATTACTCTTCCCCCCCCCCCATTAAGCAGTAATGTAGCCAGGAGGGCCATTGAGGCACGTCTTCCCTCCAAAACCCTTTTTTCTAAATGATAGGTGATATATGTAGGTGGAAACACAAACTTACGACGGTTGTAAATTATATTATATTCCTTAAACCTTAATAACTAGTGCTTTCTCCAAAATACATTTCTATACATATATATATATATATATATGTATTTTGCATATGTCTTGATAGAAAAGCACACTAGCCTAAATGGCTAAATACATTATAATATATTTTCTGTATCCGTGCTCGATGGTATCGCATCAATAAATAACGTCGTTGGACAAGTAACTAGTAAGTATAACTTCCAATGGCTTGATTTTTGTATTTTTAACGTTATTAAAAAAAAGATAACAAAACAAATAGTTATGAATACAAACATTATATGCATAACGGCAACCCGTGTAGTGGTTGTGATGTAACTAGTACCTAACAGTAAGTAGAACTGTGAAAACGTCTAACACTTTCCAATCACTAATGTAACAGTATTCTTTTGCTTTTCTTCGCCTGCCAACCTACTGAGACTATGGTACCTGTAAACATTATGTTGTACGTAAGACGTAACGATAGTCGTACATATTAGAGGGAGAAAGAGAATATTGAGAAGAGTGAAGTCCTTTAACAACTAATCGATTACAAGCGATCGAAAATCGCTATCGATAGATATGTTACATTCGGTTCGTTAAAATGATTCCACATTATATTGTTGTAATAATAATATTTTTATTTATTCTGTCGGTTCACCAAACATTCGATAAGCAGTCGATATACCTAATAATTATTATTATTATTATTTGTGTAACAAAACGACACGTCGACATAACATAGAAGGTACATACTATTACGCAACAGAGAATACCAAATGTTAGTATTTTTCACGATACACATGGATCAGCTGTTATGATGCACTTTACATTATCTGGCTGATAAACTATAATAATAACGCAATGCATCATACACAAGTATAGCAGCTGCAACTATACACAAATCACAGTATAATAATTTCAATTCGCGACCAACTCGTCGAAATCGCCGTCGATTGTGCGGATTCAATTTTTGATTATAGATAAAAAAATATATAGATTTATACTGATAAGAACGTTACGTTGCTGATAACGGAACGTTTATTCTTGCGTCCTGACTCCTGCTAGCATTAAGAGAAGACTTGCATAAGTAGTTGATTCGTCGTCACAAAATTGTTTTGTTCATTTTCAAAATGTTCACAATAATTATTTTGTCGGTCTGGAATGCTTAGAAATTCAAACAGTGAAGTCATCTAGTGCAATTTATCGGTCTTGGTGTATGTCCTCCAACGGATTGTCGTCAACGGTCAGCTCAACTTTAGCCTTGGAAACGTTAGGGCCAACACTTGGTTTGTCTACTATTCATTCTCATGCTCGTTGATTGTCCAACACTATGAGTACCACATACTACGATCCAGATGGTTTACAAAGCGTAAAAAGACGACGTTCGACAAATTTCCGTGACACATACTTGCGCAATCGTGAGTATGGCTTCCGACCAAAATACGGTGATCAAAGTCGATTGCATTGTGAAATGTACACATCTATGTATCCCATTGCTAAATGGGAATACGATGACGTTTGCACAGATATTTCAAATCCAGGAGGCATATTTAATTTAGAGTTCTCACCAGATGGGTTAGTATTGATTAGACTTCATGTTTCATTCGTAGGCTGTATAATTTTACATATTTTCAATAATGGATTGAAAATGTTTTTGTGTAAAAATCTATATATTTATTCGTTATATACAACAAACGTTGCTTAAAATTATTAATAGTATGATACTATGATAGCTCAAATGTTTATGAACTTGCCAAAAAAACATTAATTTAACTCAAAAGTTAAGATGTGTCTTCTTGGAACGATACAAATATTTTGTTCCAAGACATAACTAAATTTAAAAATATTCCTAATTAAAATATATTTTTTTGTAAGTTCATAATCAGTTAACCTATCAAAATATCATATTGTTTATCATTTTGATCAACATTTGCTGTAGTTATATAATATAATGTTAATTTTGGGCTTGGAAACAATTTCCATCCCTGCTTTAAAAGTATGTTAATTGAAATGCTAAATTAATTTCCTATGTAACTGTATCAATAATTTTATCTTCTAAATAACATATTTTATTTATCTTACCTACCCTTTTAATACAGATTTATTAAGATAACTAGGTTTTAATAATATTTAAATTTTTTTATTGAATTATGATAAATGTATAGTTTTATTTCTATAGCTTTTAAATAACTCTTCATTTCCACAATTACAATTAATTTATATAACCTTAACAGCTCATGGTCAATAGTACTTGTTAATTGCCAAATGACTAAAAACAAATAACCTTTGTTATTACGTAAATAACTGTCTATTTAAACTAACTTGAGTTTATCAAAATGTACAACCAAATTGAATTAATATATCTACCTATATTTTTGTAATTGTCGAGCCATCATATTTCCAATAAAGGCTAATAAAAAATTTTAAAAATCTACCTATATTGAAGTAACAATTTTTTCAGTTATTTTATACCTTTTAAACTTATTAAACAAGTAACTTATCATTTTCAATGTCTAGTAATATTAAAATTTTAAATATAAATTAAATAGGTAGTTTACTTAATTTTAAATAAAAAAAAAAAATATGTTGTTGAAATAATACCTAATTTTTTATGTTTCATAGAAAAATTCTAGCAGCTGCTTGCGAAAGAAAAAGTTTTATGTTATTCGACCCTGTGACTCAAAAATTCATAACCTCAATAAAGAAAGCACATAACGATTGTGTTAATTGCATAAAGTAAAAAATCTATATGAATGAATAATGTTATAATAATATTTATTACTGTAATTATATTTTTAAATAGGTTTTTAGACTCTAGAATGTTAGCGACATGCAGTGATGATACGACAATCGCACTTTGGGACGTTCGTAATCTTAGCGATAGTATTAAAGTATTAAGAGGTCATTCCAATTGGGTAAAAAGTATAGAATATTCAGTGAAAGACAATTTACTAGTATCCAGTGGATTTGACGGACACATATATACTTGGGGTATAAATAGGTAAAATACAATTTTTTTGTTCTCGAAAAAACCCTTTATTATGTATACTATTTTTTTTACCATTTTTGCTTTGTGTTTCAGTTATTCCGAAGAAGGCAGAGTATGCAATAATTCTGTGTTTCACATTAATGGACTTATGCGAATAAAAATTCTTCCTGACTCTAGTAAAATGGTGGTCTGCACAACAGGCGGATATATTTTACTCATTAATAATTTAGACCTTGACACCCTGGGAACAGATATTCAAGGGTTCAAAGTAATTTTTGATTTTCTTATATTAACCATACCTAATATGGAAGATTTGTGTTTTACACAATGTCCATATCTAATCTATGACACAATAACTATACGCAATATGCAAACAAATTAATTATTTATTAAATATAAATTGTGTATTATTAGGTAAAATAATTAGATAATTAATTTTAAAATGTTTTTCTATTATTTTAGCCTAATATGTATCGTCTTATGCAGCTTAGTAAAACTACTATTCCTAATGCTGCTGCTCATACTCATATGTTTTCACGTAATAAAAACCGCGTTGAATTCATTGTAGACTTCCCTAGAAATGACGATGCTGAAATAATTTCTTCTATTCAGGTATATTTACTTTTTTCATACCTATCAATTCCAAGAAGATCTCTTATAGTGTCAAACACAATAGTGATTAAAATTTTAATATTTTTACAGTTACATCCCCAAGGTTGGAACGTGTTAAGTCGAAACATTACTACTGACGAACAGTCTGAATGGACTTGTGTACACGACATACAGGACATTGCTTCCCCCACTGAAGAACAAGAAGAATCGGAAGAAATACATTCTGAAGAAGCTAATAGATTGGAACATTCCTTAGGCGATGATCCAATGTAAATACTATACTATATGATATTGTAAATATTATCTAGTTTAATTTGATAATGTATATTTTTCTTGTAGGGAAGGAAGACTTCACCGACGCACTCATGTAGTTATTCCTCGTGATATAAATAGCGGTAGCAGTATGGTACCTTTTTCTGTATTGGGACCTAGAGGTAATCGCCAAGCCGATCTTTGGGAAGCCATGATGCAAATAAATGGCACCCGGATAAGGAGTTTAAGATTTTTATCAGGCAAGTTAATGTTTTATTTTTTTACAAATTTCAAAATAATTTACAAACTAATTTATTATATTGTTTGTGCATGTAATTCATATACCTGCATATAGGGTACACAGTTTTAGTCGTTATTATATTGCATGGTGTACATGGGTACATAGAAAAGTAGCAGATACTGCATATACACTAGAGTGGTTCTTATTTGCACGATTTACGAATTTCAATTATGCTGCCCCCCCCCCTATTCGATTAAAAAGACCTTGATATTTTTGTTAAAAAATATTGAATACTTTTGTTAATGTATAAAAATATTATTATTTTGTTCATAGAAGGACGAGAGCGGGTGTTAGGGACGTATTCTGGGGTTCGGATCGTACGTAGCGCTACAGGCCTGCAAGACCAAGAAGATTTAGACGAACTATCTATGGAAGAAATGGATAATCGACAACCTTCGGAGCGTTTAGTAACAGTTTTAATAAACCGAAATGTGCCACCTGACCTTCGAATGCGTAATTATATAGTAGTGAACCCAAGAACCGAATCGACAAGACAATCTAGACGTGAAAATCCAGATGCTGTGTTTTTGGTCGGCAATCGACCACGGCGTAACAGTTATGTTCTCAATCGAATTAACAGATACCAGGTACCTTTGGACCATAAGATACATAAAAACTCTGATCGATTGACACATTACATCGAAGAAGCTAATGTAGGAAAAGGATTCATCAAAGAACTATGCTATTCAAATGACGGACGTATAATTTGTTCGCCTTTCAGTCATGGCGTTCGATTATTGTCATTTTCATCTAATTGCGATGAGTTATCCACGTTGATGCCTAAATCTCCCGGTGTTAAATTACACGAGATCGGCACAAACGTGTCACATTCAAACATCGTCCTATGCACTAAGTTCTCACCTGTTCATCCGTTACTTGTATCGGGTTGTTTAGCTGGCCGTATAGTTTGGTATCAACCTAGGCTATAACACTGGCAGTGATTTTATTGGTAATTTGTATATTTGTATAGATACTAAACTATTTGACATTGAGGCTGAAGCTAAAATTTTGTTTTTTTATACTAACAATAAAACTAATGCAGTGTTTCTATGCGTGTGAACTGAAGTACACGTGTATTTCAATTTCATAAAACCTGTTTATATTAATTGATAATTTGAGAACAATTATTGTAGACTGCATTTGATATGAATAATTATCGAAGAGCACACCTCAGATCACCAGTATCATACAGTATACGTCACTATTGTTGAATTTATATTTAAATTATATATTCTGCTCTTAATGTTATGTAAAATAAATCATGTTCAATAATCCAACAAACATTTTATAGTTTTTGTGTTATTTTGTTTATCAAAATTAATATTTTATATCGGGACCATACAAATAATAATTCTAAACAAATTTAAAACTTATTAGTTTATTAATCACCTTTAGAAAAACTAAAGTTTACATTTTTAATAAAATAGTTTTATAAATGTAAAACACTAGTTACCCTTTTATCAGTCAATTTTGGCTATTAATAATTATTGTTTAATTAATTATAGGATAATATACAATTTGGTCTCCTTATTCATATCTTTTGTATAACATCTAGGTTTTAGAAGTAATTATTGTGGTATTGAGGTAATGATGTATTAGTCAGTTCCTATGGATAAAAATAAACCATAAAAAGAGCTTGATTTAGATGTTTTACGCTAAGTAATATTACCATAAATTTATAATATTATAAATAGCCGTTTATGTTTTAGTAATGTTCAATTGTTATGTGCCTTAAAGATAATATATATTTATATATATACATAAATCAATATATGTGTATATTTTCTGTATATGTATAGTTTTTATTAGCTAGGCGAATAATTTTTTTGTTTGCGTTCACTATGATGTTAATAAAATAACCTTTCTAAACCTGAAATATTTTTATTTAATAAGAATTTCGTGTTCTTATATCTGTAATAAGCAAATATTTACATACGTATGTGTAAACTTTAACGATATGTATTCAGTGCAATAATTACACACAATGTATCATACTATATAAAATATAAAATATTTTTTATTTCTGTAGCGTATTGTTTCATTACCAGTTAATACTTAAAATTGAATCCTTATCAATATAATACAAATTATATTGAGGTTTTCTCAGTGCGAGAGATAACTCCAGAAAAAGTGTAGATAATGTTACCAGCAATTGCTTTTTAAAAGAATACCAATATAGTAAAAACAAAAAAATTATTTTAAAAACCAAACTAGTGTAATTAGTTAAATGCGATGACATTAATTAAATATATTTTATGACAACGATAATGAGATAGATAGCGAACAACGGGTAAAACTTTATACAATATTATTACCTAAAAATATATATTTATATACGTGAATAAAAACTGAAATAGCCCTTAAGTGGCATAGTTAGTATATATAATTTTGTATTTGACGCATAAGTACCAATTCCAATTCCACAGATAGATGGAGATATAAAAAAAAAGTACAGGAAATACACAACCGTAAATATATTTTTATGTTAAAACAATAATTTCTTTAATTTACTGGACCAAATGATGGAGATTGTGCTTGTTTATGTACCGTTTACGAGCTTCGTCGATCAGTTTAGCCTTTCTTTCTACAAACGATGCAACTCCAAAATTATTAGGTTCAGAACTCTTGACCTAAAAAGTAACAAATTAATGAGTGTTTAAATAGCAAAAACATAAACAACAGGCTCGTTTCACACCTTACGTGTATAATACGCATGGTTTTTCTAACATAACATAGCAAAACCTGCTAACTATACGCGCACGTGTGAAACGGGCCTAAGAATATCGTCCAATTTTTTACTGCTGGTTTTAGTTCTCTGGAAGATTTTACTAAAGGAGTGTATTTGACCGTTCCGTCGAGAATATTAGTAATAGTAATATCAACACTTTTTGTACGTTCTAAATTATACAAAAAAAAAAAATTTATTAAAAGATCAATAAAGCAAAATAAAAATGTAATTCAATACTCACTAAGATTAGCAATAATGACATTGTTAGGAACATAAGGAAGAACATCAGACACTTGGACAGCCATTCTTAATATTTCTGGATCTTCTTCAAAATCATTCAATGCAACATTTTTGTTCTGTTTTCTTTTGTTGTCTGATAACTCTAATAAATATTTCTTTTCATACTCGGCCTAGAACACATAGATATATACAAATTAATACTAAATTTAATTTAACAGAATCTATTTGATCATACTTTATCATTTTTATTTAAATTTGAAGTAGATATATTAAGTTCATGGGAAATAGCTGTTTCAACTCTCGTTATCATGGCTTCATTCGATTCATCTTCTGATCTCTCGATTACTCGAAGGAGTCTAATATATAAAACAAATTATAAGCAAACATCTATTTTTTCATTTTATTATACACATACTTGTACTCAAATACAGTATAGGGAACAAAAAAGAACCAAAATATTTCTGTGAACCAACTTGAACCTAATACTGATAAGTTGACATCAGCGAAAGAAGGTCTTCTTGTTTTGATAACAACTGGCTGTAATACATCACTAATAACTGTTGGAAAAGTAGAAAACCTAAAGACACAATGAAGAAGATAGTTAAATAAACAAGTTTACATAAGCATTTTTAAAAAAATATTTACGCCCATTTTGAAATGTTTTTTACCTGAGCAGAGCACTTTTGCCATTAGTAGTAGCTCCTTCTGGAAATAAAACTAATGATCTTCCATTGGATATAAATTGCTTTAAAAATGCTGTTGCCGAAGTTACGTTTTCATGATGTAACATGGATACTAGACCAAAAAATGAAGCTATTGGATCGGCAAACTTTCTAGTAGGCTAAACAAAGTACAAAATGTGTAAGTTAAAAATGTCATATTACACAATTTAATTTAATGGTGTGCCAGATCAAGCATAAAACTCTATTAGAGAGGTGAATTGACAAATTCATATGTCATACTTATCATTTACTTTATTAAATAGGAAGTTTTCTGAATTTGAAAAACCTAACTTGGTATACGGTTAATAAAAAAAAAGGCACAGCTCAGCTGTTTTAAAAAAATTATGATATGAACCCCACAAATTAAACTGTTTTTATATCAAATACAAAATATTTCGGTGATTACTGATTGGCTACATTTTGGTAATAATTAATATAATAAAAAAAACGTATAAAACAAAATACAATGATTACTAATAAAAAATATATGTATCCTGTGTCGTAGAGTAAAACGTCATGAAATACATACCGTGTACGAACCAATGGCCAAATGTAACGCAACATGGTCAAACATAGATAAATGATTGGAAACAATCATTTGATTTTTCTTTGGGACAGACTTATCATTTTCTACTACAATTAGCCCAATTACACCACACATAATTCTTAATAATGGTCTGTTAACATAACATAAATATAGTAATGTAAGCAATATTATAAAGTATAAAATAAAGCCATAAAAAAGAAAATATAAGAACAATATACGTTATAGGAGAAAGAAGACTGTCATAATTAAACAGAACATTTCCAAGCTTTAAATTCATGTTATGCTTTTAATAAAAGTTTACCATTTTACTTAAGTTGAGTAAACTTTAATAATTTTAAATTATTCCTCTTTCCAAATAACATAGATTAAACAATGTATGAATGTATAATACTCTTAAATTTATTTAATGCTTCATTTTTTTTTAACTTCATAACAGTTTTAACGTTATGAAACAGTGTGGCAACTATTTTGTTTAAAATTAACACCTATGTGTTATCCATTTTTACGTAAATGATGCCTATCGATAGTATACACTAAATATATACTACCAATAATAAGATCCTATAATAATTGTAAACTTATTTACCTGCGTATCCATGGGTAACGAGTCAGGAGAACTGTTAAAAAGAGTACATTCAGTGAGATAAACGCTCTTAAGATTGCAATGATAAATCCTAAAGGAAAGTAAACAATGATTCCAATTTTTTTATCAATAGATTTAGGAAACCTGTAAAATAGAAAAGTTATAATAATAATTATTAGTTATAGGTAATATTATGTAGTTAATTATTATAAAAAAAGTTCTACTTTAATTTATAAACACAACTATTAAAATTGTACTTACAGTCTAAATACAAAAAAAAAATGTATTATCTACGGTATGTTATAACAGACTAAAAGCTAACACCCTAACTCATACAACACATTGTTTTAATCTAAGTTCCTTCCGCACAGAACAAATTCCAATAGTTAGGTTACATATTTCATGTACCTACCTAATAATATTTTACTTAGTTCTAAATATGTACATTAAAAAAACAATATACTATACGAGAATATTAGCTTGAGATTTAACAGTGAAAACATTTTTCTTAATAAGGGTAACTGTCAAAACGAAAACATTTCATAATACTTTTTCGCACTCACCTTGATTTTACGACTAAATTCTCCACGGTGATATCGGACGTCATTTTTTAAACTGAAATAATACTTTAAACTGGGAAAATCAAAACTAAATCGTCAAGCATATCCCATAACAGAAATTACAATAATAAACACATTCCCTCCTTCTTTGGCAGTCAAGTTAAAATAAAATCTGGCAAAATACTATGTAAAATTGTAAACGAATTTACAATCGGTATTAGCCATTAGGTGATAATAACGTAATGTAATATTTTGCGTAGTGCCTTATCACAATTTTGATCAGCTGATATCTTATTTTACGGTAAACATTTCATTTTCCTAGAACGATTAATATCTTGTAGGTTACAATTTTTACCGCCAGGCAGAGCTAAAGCCTAAAGGCTTCGTCATAAACATCTTAAACATCAACAGCTAAACATCTTACGTAATAGGTTACGTAAGACGTGACGTTGTGTTTTTACATTTTTTTTTTTCAATAACTTAATTGTTATTTGTTAACGACAAATTACAATCGACAGACAACTCAGTGGCAACTAAATTAGTTGGTTAAAAACTTTTTTTGTTTGATATGATTTATTGATCGCGATACGCATAGTGTCCCAAAGTTTGATTACCAAAAGCGGAGAACCTGATTATAATTACTCCCACCTTAAGAGGATTGAAATTAGATAGGTTCTAAGGAGTTTTATATAGACAATATTTAAGATTAGAAGGCGTTTTAATAAATTTTCACTATGAAAATGTATTTACACTTTACAGATTAATCTATTTAAGCATCAAGCATTATTTTTTAATTATACAATTTTTTCAATGAGTAAACGCCATTTTAGTGGGATTATAGACCTAAAATCTTGAAAAAATTAGGTACACATTTTTGGGATGGTCTGATTTCAATTTTATAAAGAGATTCGAGTTCTTTACATACTTTACTAGGTTATAAAGAAAGCTGATTTTCATTTAAAAATTCAGTTTCTGGTAATTAAATAAATTAAGTTTGAACATTTTTCTATATTAAAAATCAAGTTTTTACATTAAAAAAGTAAAAAATTAATAATCTTTACTGTTTTAAGTGTCAATAAAAACTATTAGTTGACAAAGACGTACTTAGGATTTAAGCATTTGGGTGCCAAATTTTTTCCACAGTCCCCTCCACTCATCTAACGTGATCACACATGTATGACGTAGACAAGTGGAAAATGGGTGCTTTTCAAGTATTGTAATCATCACTTGAAAATATTATATAATATTTTCATCGATAATGAAGAAAACTCAAAATGTATGCACGGTGTACTAAAATACCTGACTGTTTAATGTTATACATGCCTACAATTTATTTATAAGAAAAAAAAATTAGTCAGTAGGCCAGAGATATCTAAGGCCTAGGCGTTCATAAATACACTTTTTTTTAGACTATAGTTTGTGGACAGTACAATCTGTCCTTAGTGCTAAATTTTACCTTTTATATGGTCTGAGTAACTAGTAGGTACCTACTATAGTTATTTAAAAAGCGATAGTGCAAACTATTTATGCATTTTGGTTTTATATTTTAATCAATATAGTGTACTCAAGATGGCGTCATACGATTTTATCCATAGGTAGAGTAGATTCTAATTTTATCTTCACCGGACGAGGACAGCTAATTATAATCTAATACCTATATTATTTTCAAACGATTAAAATAATAATTGTCCTTACATAAAATACAAAGAAGCTGTCGCCTGTTGTTATAATAAAGCTATAAACGATTATTTATGGATTCGGATTATAATACTTCCATTCTTTTTTTTTTTTATCAAGGATACGAAAGGTGGAAAACCCTTCTAAAAGGACCTTAAAGGACTGGTTTCCATAAAGACCTTTTAAAGTCTTGGTGATTTACGAAGAGGCAAGACGCTATTTAACCTAAAAGTTTGAATTTGAGTAGTGTTTAAACATTCTCATTATAACCATATTTTATATAGGTACGAGTTGCGGCTAAAAAATATATTATTATAATATACAAGCTGTCCGAACCCACCCGGCCTTGCCCGGAATTTAGTTTGCCAGGGCTGAGTAAAATAATTACAATTAAGATAAAAAAAACTCAGCACTCTAGGTTGAATATTGTAGAGCTTTAGCATACCCCGTCTCGGCTTTTTTTCGATTTACATAATATTATGTACATTACATTATATTAATTATGTCCCCTTCTTACTCAAGGGTCCCAGTCCTAGATCCAGTTCCAATGTTTAATACCGTCCCCAGAATCGGTCTGTTCCTTTAACCATCACCTACCATTTGCTCGAGTACCGTGGTTACCATGGTTAAAAACAAAGTGTTTATTATGGGTTAGCAACGAAAAATACTTCGTATTTAAAGTAGAAAATTCGTATTTGAGGCCACACTTAGAGGTAGATTTTTCGAAAAGTACTATGCCAGTTAGGTTCGCGGGAGTGTACTCAATAACTTCCCAAAGTTTCATGGCAATCGGATGAATGGTGTACTAATGCATAAAGGACAAACAAACAAACAGTCATTAATTTATATATATAGATATGTATACATAATTTTTATTCAAATCGGTTTCATAAGGCCTACTTACGATTAGTACCTACCTAATTTACATACATAACGTTTACAAAAAAAAAGAAGTAATTCGTTATTACGTCAATATATTGTTTGAATAATTTAACTCTATAATATATGACATTATATTATTATTGTTGCATAATAATAAACTACTTTACTACTTTACTACTTTACTACTCATATAAATATATTATATTTTATACACAAAAAAAACTACAAATGTATATATTACAATAACAATCGTGCAACATAGTTGCATAAAGTATGTAGTACATAAATTATAAGCATAAGTTACCCTTGATTCTAAAATAATAATAATGAAAAATAATATTACAACGTATTTCGTGTTGGTACATATACCAACACTAAGGCGATACTTTAAAAAATATAAAACATAAACTATACCTTACGTCTATAATGAATAATAAAATGTGTATAAAAATAACAATAAAACACAAATAGTCTATAAATAGATAATGCCTATACGCAGTAAGTAATGATGATGTACAAAATGTGCAATAATTATAATTCTCCTAACAGCTCAAATGCGTTTACGGTGTACAGAGTCTGAAGATAATATTATTAAAAAATAAATCAATACATTTAAGCTATACGACTAATCGGATATAATCCTTAAATGTATTATCCACAATACGATGTCTTAATTAGAAAAAAAAACTTTGATTTCGATAATATACTTTAAAGTGTTAATTTCAAATTAACCTATAAGTAACTAATTATTATACACAATTCCGCACGTTCAATTTTCCATAATTAAACGAAACAAGTTACATTTTATACTTACTGGTGATTTGATTGACAAAAAAATAATTAATAAAGGAAATCGGTAGAAACAGAACGGAAACGACACAAAATTCCGTTTTTGGGATGAAAAATATAATAATATAATATGGCGTCAACTGCGAGTCAAGGAACTGTACAGCGAATGACTGTTTAAAAACAAAACGATTTTGACTGTAGTACCTAGGCGTCTTGTACTCGCCTATGAATTATTGTCGTAGTTAGGTGTACAATCCATTGCGGGTTCAGCGGTAAATATAATAATATTATTAATAATATATTAAATACAGTGTCCCTTGTCGGAGAGACTGGACGAGGTACTGGACGATATTTCTATCCCTTTTTGAACTTGATCAACAACACGCTGGAAGTTAAGAATATCGAAATCCATATTAGCGTGGAACAGAAACCAATGTAAACTGTCGGCTCGGTGATCGGCCATCCTCTGGCCAACATTGATCTCATCGATTCTGTGGACTGTGTGAGCGGCAAGAAAAAGCTGAGAGTCTTCATGGCCGCATGCATTCCTTCCACCGGCCATATAATTCCTACGAAAACAAAACACGTCATTGTGAAATCATATTATTATGACTCGTTAGCTTCGCATCGGAACTGGACGGGGTAGGTAATATTATCATAAGCTGTTATTTGGTTAAAACGAGGAACCTTCTCAAGTGAGTTATAAAAAAAACTGTTTATATGTCTGTTATAATACTCATAACGCATAAAGGTCAGACACGATCGAAAAACGTACATCTATGTAGCGAAGGCCGTCGGTACCGTCGCTTATGTGATACGGTTTATGTGTGTAATTTGTTTTTTTACCTCACGCCGTCAAGTATATTAATGGAAAATAATAATAGTAATTATCGTCGAGCACTCTTTTTCTTATTGTCAACCGTTACCATTATTAATAAAATAACTTGTAAAGGTTAATGTTAATACGTCAGTTTCCATAGGAGACCCCCGTGGATCGACGTACAACCGAGTTCACGGTCTGCGCTCTTCGTCATAGTCGTTCTGAGGTCAAAATCACCACACTACCAAAACGATTAGGATTTTCGTATCATCCGATACACGACAAATGTTGCTATTCGCTATGTTACGTACACGACGGCCCTCTGCCGTGAAAAAAATAGGACGCCATAACCAAGTATAAAGCTCTACTTACCACAAAGCATGACGATCGGCAGGAAACTGCCCATGGCCAAGTAAGTAGCGTTTCTCTCGCTGTCCGTCACACACGACACCACAAATCCTGCAACAGAGTTCCGGTGTTGTTTTCACACGATATCAGAAAATATATTCAGAAGACAGTAAAACGAGTACTCACCGAAGCACATTCCGCACAAACCGGTCAAAATGGTCAGCGTGGAAATCCAAAAAACGTCTCCTTCGTTGGTGACGTCGAACACGACCAGCGCGAAAGCGATGACCATAAGCGACTGGAAGACCATGATCATCAGTTGACACACCACGTGCCCCAAGAGTACTTCGATTCCAGTAATGCCTAATAGGGAATACCAATTAAAACATTGTAATTCATTGTTTGTTTTTTTTTGTCGGCGTTAATTGTCGATTTACCAGAAACTAAACTCCTCTCGAGAATTCCCTCGTTTCTTTCAATCAACATGGCTCCGGACGTTAGGGCGACGGCCAAGAAAAATATTATCGTCAGTATGACACCGGGAGCAGCAAAATCCGTAAAATTAGGCACGTAAGGACCGTAAATCGGATGGTTAAACTAAAACGAAAATAACAAATATAAAACAGTTAAATATATAGGGTAATGATTTTAGAGAGCATGATTGAACTTCTTATAAGAAGCGAGTCAAGACCGTTCAATGGGAGAACACCAGTTTGAATATTCAGTTTTCATGACTAAAACCAAAATATACATATGGCACCAAAGCCTAAGTTCATAACTTCAACACATTTTTGAGTTTTTAACAAATAAATACAACAATTTTAATATCATTTTTATATGTCTTATATGGTATAAACCCATTACGTCTTCCGATTCCTTGGTACCTTCTTATTAAATAACAACTTTGACAAACTGACACAACAACACCCATATAGCCTAATATAGTCAGTTATTCTTCGGTTTTCGTTGCATAAAAAAATAATAATTCCAGAACTAGTAAGTTAAAATACAATGTTCAAAATATTTGTGCCCCCTTTTAATATTGCACTCTGAACCCAGACCTGACGACTTAATTACCTAGTATTAAATTTATTTTTTTTAAGTAATCTATGTAAATAAGAATTAGGTACGCACTCTAACGGGAATAGCCACTGCTCTTGAGCTGAAGTTACAAGGTGCGGCTAACGTAGCCGTGAAATCTTGAAAAGCAAATAAGATATCTCGCCGGAGTAACATTGATATTTGTTGGTCTGTAAAAAGTACAATTTATTAAAATATTTAGCGTTTTAGATACCATTCCAATGAAAATGTAAACACTACACATTTCTTGAGATCAATCAGAATTATTTTACAATTGAAGTATAACTGTGTACCGATCTAGTAACCGATCGATGTTAATTAATTGCCTCGTATCTTTGTGCTTCTCAACTACTTTAGTCCTTTTCCTGTTTCCTCAATACTTCTGTAAAAGTCGCCGTCTTTATCTTCTGATCTATCTGTATCTTAACACCTCAAACTTTGAACTTGGTGTACTACCCTTTACTCTTTTGCTTCGCTCTACATTATCTATTTCGCCTTCATTCAACATGTTCAGGTGATCTCAGTAAATTTTTAATAAAATATTTAAGTTAAAACAAATGTTTACTCGATTCGTCGAGCCAAATGGAAACACAACTATCGTCGAGTATCCATTCTGAAGCGTCCTGTCCTAGATCTATCCGTTGTCTAAGCGATGTAGTATAGTTGGGTGTAAACATTAACGCTCCCCAAGCCTTACCCAACTTTACCGCTCGAAAAGCTGATTCTTCATCATCGAAAAAATCCTGCAAATAAAAAATAATTATGAACATAACATTAGAATAAAAAAAATAATAGTTGTCAGTAGCATATTAGTCTATATAAACTTACTAGTATTTGCCGCCTTTTCTCTATCTGATGCAAGAACTGACAACTAAGTTCGTTTAGATAACAGCTACCCGTTGGTGGACATGTCTTATTGGTTGTTTCGTGATTTACGACAGCCAAGTGTAAGCCATAAGGATCTTTGCCAATTGATAAACAAAACAGCACGATTTGAGCGACGGGTAAACCAACAATGAACAACATTACCCTACGATTAAAATCATCATTCATATTATTTATACCTCTCTTAATCAAATGCGTACAATATAGGATGGGATACGATCAGCTATAGCCAACGTTCATAATGTTTTTAGGGTTTTATGATAAATTATTATTATTATTACTAACTGAGTCCTTGTATTCCTGAATCTACAAGTAAAAAATAAGGATGCATTTCCGGTTATTGGAGTAGTAGTTGAATTGAATCAAAAAACTTCATAATTATTAGAACTTTTATCAACGGCCTAGCTTTAGTTCGAACCGAAATTTATACTTACGCTACGTTTCTCCACATCCACAAAAAGTTTTTCCATATGAGAGCCCGCATGTGATGGGACTGATAGATTTTGTAACGTTCAAAGAATGACATCTTTATATTGACCTCAGGTGGTAGTTCCGGTTCAGCATTCGCTCTAGCGTGTCCCGAACAGATAGACATCCGTTTGCTCAGAGGCACCGGGCTGATGCTGTCACCGAACTCGCCGCTCATTTCAGACGAATTGTCACATATAGAGTTCAGAGCTTCCACTGCTGGGACGGGCGAAGTTTCCTGTAAACCATACAAAACAATTGAGTTGGTTAATATTTAACGCAATTGTCAAGAGTTTTAAACTCCTAAATCGGGTGTTTTACTCACCGGCACGGTTATGGCGGCCGTGATGTCATGCAAAATGCTGCTGCGTCTCCGTTTACCTCGGTTCTGTATCACGCTGAGTTTCAAAAAAACATCTTCCAACGACTGACAGTTGTATTTTTGCAACAATGCCGTGGGCGATTCTTCAGCCAAAAACTTACCACCCCTCATCAAGCCAATCTGTGGGTAAATTATAATAAATTGTGTTATAATTAAATGACACGTAGTAAGGAAACGTAGGTTACAATAATCCAGCGTTTCGGACCGAGGACAAAATACTAAATAGTTATTTTTATAAATTAATTATATTTTATAAGTCCGATTTTCTATATTACTTCTGTATATATTCATACAGATGGATAACATTATGTAAATTTAATTTTTTTATAAATGACTATCACATCAAAAGTATCTCACGTAAAGCCGCAAAATAATAGTTATTAAAATTAAAAATTATATTTACACTGGCGTAGATCGGACGCCATGGCCTTCTAAACAACTACCAGGTTTGAAATAAAAAATCAATAATATTCTTGGATCAATTAGTCGATCTTGCTCAATTAATAATATTTAGTTAATATGGTGTTTATAAGGTTTAATATTACAAACATCTAGTAATTACCATATGAGCCTGTCTGGTTTCGTCAATGTAATGCGTCGTTATAATTACTGTGGTTCCTTCGTCTTTGGCCAAGTGCACTAAATGGTCCCATATGCTACACGCGCGCATATTAAACAACGTTTTATAATAATAATATATTATTGTAATTTATTTGATTATGACGTTATTATGTACACACCCTTGTCGGAGAACTGGGTCAACGCCAACAGTAGGTTCGTCCAAAATTAGCAACTCGGGCTTATGCAGTAGAGCTGCGGCGAAAGACACTCTCCTTTGCTGACCGCCACTTAATAGACAAAGACGAGTTATTGCATATATAACTGTATAATAGTCGCCTCCGAATCGCAATACAATATTAATTAAACACGTTTGACTAACCTTAGATTTTTTACAGACCGGCTGGCCGTTGGGAGCTGTAAAAATTCCAATAGGAATACCAGTTCCTCGTCCACAGCTTCCGGTTTCATGCCATTCACCATGCCGAAAAACTGCATAGTTTCCCTAATGGTAAACTCACCATAAAGAGCTATTTCCTATATAAAAAACCGAAAGTTAAGACCATCCGCAGTGACCAAATTTTCACACACTGTGCATATTATGCTTACTTGTGGCATGTATCCAATTCTTGGTCCAGGTACTCCGCTACCCGCGGATCCCGGTTTACCACCTAACACCCATATTTCACCGGCGTTCAGTCTTCTGCGGCCTACTATACAACTCAGCAGTGTAGTTTTTCCACAACCGCTGGCTCCCAACAAACCGTATCTATCAACAATAGTTTAATATTTCTTAACCGTTGAATCGACCAAATGTATAAGTCAACGCCGATACGCCTTTATACAAAATTGCATTTAAGTGCAAACAAGTTTTTAAATCAATAAATTTATAAATGGATTTTTAATTTTGTAACGTTTAACATATTTGTTATGTATACATTCGTTGTTTAAAATAATTTTCTATTTGTGTGTAATTCGGACATCGTGGGATCGAAAATCTCAGTTTGGTTTAACTTCTCTGTCCACTTTGTACTACCACAATTTGGCCTTAACACCCATTTTGCGTTTTGAGTATTTGAAAGTATTATTTTTTATAATACCTATTATAGTAGTTGACAACGAAAAAATAAGGAATATTCGTAATCACTGTTGAGTAAATCGTCAAAATCGAATACATCATTAAACGCATTCCTCGTTAGTCTACATTATTATGATCGTTAACGACAATGCTTTAACGTTACCTATGAAGTCACCGGTATTGTCCAGTTTACCTACTCTTGTTTATGTTCAATAGACACGTTCGATATTACACCTATAATTGAGGGTAATCGAGAGTCAGGTGGTGTAATTGTAAACGAATAGGATAAATACAAATGCATTATGTTCACAGAAATAAAAACAAATGTGTAATTTTAATTAATTGAATTCAACCAGAGTTATTGTGTTTCAAGAGAAAATCAAATTCAATTGTTTGGCTATTTAAAAACAAAAAAAAACATTTACTTTGACCACATTTTATTAGCATGGGACATGATTTAGCCTTGGCCTACCAGCTCGAAAACAAAACAAAAAGAACGACACAAAATAGCGTCACAAAAGTAGCGCGTCTACTTTAAATGTATAATATAACGAGTCGTCGTCGTCATGCAAACGTTTTGGCATATAATTAAGACTATAGTATAAATCGTCATAAATCGCAAGTAGATTATAGATCAGAAATGTTCACTATTCAAGAGCCAGCAGGCTAAAGCATATTCAATGTTTTATAATTTTAGCCGTTAGGCTTTAAGTAGACTGTAACTTTTTTTGTTTACAATTACTCCATCTGACAATCCACGTTTGAAAAATGGAGCCTTACATGCAGCCTTTTGGTACAGTCATGTTGAGCCCGTCCAGGATAACGTGCGGATTTGAACTCTGACCATATTTCTTGTAGGCCCGCCTTACGCACACTGCTTGCTGTCGTCTGGTCCATACCGTGGACTGTTGAGTTTCAAGCGGTGGTCGCCTCTCCGTCAACGCGATGGGTATATCTGGACGCATTGCTGAAAATTGAAAAAAAAAAAACATTTTAATTGTTGGTTTTCACGAATAGTAATTAACTACGTTTTTAATATTAAAAATAACAAAAACAAAACCACCAAAAATGTTCTCACGGAAAAAAGGAAAAGGATTTATTAATTATAGTAATTATCAGCACCAACCTATCATCAAAACCCGAAGCTGTTTGTAATAATGGAATTTTTGTAAACGACACCGTCTCTTAAAGTGACCGAAGGAAGGATACTTTACCTTGTCCACGCTTGTGGCCTTGCGAAAAACATTACATTCGGTACCTAACGATCATTTGTGCGGCCGCAACAAATATAATCCAACAACTCTGCGTTCTAATGAGGTCTGACAACTAATAGGCCTCGTGCCATGTTTTATTCGAGTAAAATAAACCAAACAGCAGAAACATAGACAAATAAAGTATTTATCTGTAGGCACGTAGTAAACGTTAGTCTATACTCAAGTTAATAAATATTTAAATAAAAATCAGCATAGTACATTAATTACTGGTTCAAGAAGGTATTGCACTTAATTAATTATTAAACAAACAAGAACAGTTTTTTAAACATACAACATAGTGTAGTTGAGTGTTTTACATTTATGCAATAATAATATGTATACAATATATTATATTATATATTATATATACACACATATATATGTATATTGCACTATTTATTTGCAGTGTTTGTTAAAATAAGTGCAAAATAATGTTGTATTAAAATTATTACAATTTTACTGCCGAGAAGAGGAAAAACAGCGATCGTGAAATAGCTATTATGACAATGCAATAACACATTAACAATATTTTATTTATTACCCCCGTCTACAATATTATAGCAGTCCTCCTTGAAAATAGGTATATTATGTAGGTAATAATACAAAATACAAAAATTGCAGTGTTCAAAATCTTGACGTTATAGTAATAATTAGACAGACAATTGTCAATAATAATAGGTAATCAAACTGGTTGTTTTAGATAAATGCTTCACCATTGACGTTCATATACACAATGTTATGACTTAAAAATCCACACGATCATTCAAGACATTATTAGGAATCATTATAGGTACTAGGTGCAAAGACGATCCGTGTGTACTTATGGAATCGGTTATAACTTACTTACTTACTTATTAGTTATCTATTGTATCAATTCAGAACTATATGAATCATTATAAATCAGAAAGTTGAAATATTTATATTGGGCACCTATTTTTTCAAAAAGACTTAAAAATAATTGATCACTATTTATGTAATCAACACAAATATTATACAGTAGATACTTAAAAACTATTTGGCCTCACTCGGATCATCGGTTAACTGAATCGACTGTCGCTATAACATAATTTATGACGAAAATATAATTTTTATCTTTATGAAAATGGCCTATGACCGTTCTCACCAGTAAGTTATTTTTATAGTGACACATTTCCGTCTTCTAGTAGTGAGAGTGATTTCTGAAAAAAAGTATTTTAAATAAACAAGAAGTCGAAATATCTTGGAATTTTGTTTGTTGGCATTCGTAATCTGTTTGAAATCATCGGTTTTAAATAAAATACAGAAGGTCAAACTCCATTTAAAGGTTTTAACGATTTCAAATTTTTATTTACCTTAGGAACATCGTTAATAACATAATTACATAATTTAAATATGCAAAATTATTCCAGTGTAGTGTACCGCAAAATCACGTTTCTACTAACCACGAGTTTTAGCAGTGGCCATACCCTGTACCTATACTACACTTCAGAGTTCTAATATTTGGATCAAGGTTTTATTATAATACATATTATTTATTGTATAATAGTTGATAAATAGTATTTGGTTTATGCCGAATTATATCCGTATAACTCGGGTCAAGTTTATATCCAAATTATACTTGTTACAGTCAATTAAAGAATTGGCCAATTCTATATTTTAGTAAGCCACAAACATGCCGGCGTATCATTTTATTACGGTGTAAAGAAAAAGTAGATATCAAGGATGTTTTGAATACGTCATCCTAACTAATTTTGCAAGGAAAAAATATTTCACTACGACTTCAAACTAACTTATTAAAGAAAATTAATCCAATACACGCTTAAACTGAACAGTAAAATATACACAATAATAATTATAGCTATCTTATTAGTCCTTCAGTAAAATTTCGAACGAAAAATAAAAGGCAGAAAACACATATTATAATATCTGTATTATTATGATAATAATAATTATGTAATTCTTATAGTTGTACTCAAGGAAACACCAAAGTTTTAAAAATAATCTTTGAGTTTAAAATCTGTTATTATGACTATTATGAGATTTTATTAACAACAATATATAATTATTTACGTGTAATTTACATTTAAATACGAATTAACTAACAATTCACACTTCTAAATATACCTCTGTAGAAATGGCCGTTTTTTTAGGTTAAAAATTAATTTATAAGATATAGAGTAATACATATTGCAACTATAATTAGACATAGATCTTAATTTTTCTTTTTTTTTTCTTTTTGATAAAATAAAATGTACAACCCATATGAACTATAAAAGTATTACAACATTATTTGTGTTCTATATATTTTTGGTTTTATAGTTAAGTACGAAATGTCGAGTTCAATCAGCTACATAAACTGTGTAAATTTCAAATGTCTACGTTCATATATCACAAAAAGAGACAAAAATTTCCGTCTAAATGAAACTCAATTACCACCAAATTTTAATCAGTTCATCTAGACAACAGAGCACTGAACATACTTGTAAAATTGTAGGAGGAAATTTGACCAACCATGAAATTATTTGTTTTTAAAAATGTATTAAAACTTGAATGGGGTATTATATTTACACTATTTACACCGAAACGTAGGCGAACCAGTCAAGATATCAAAATGGGAGTAACCGCAAGGCGTGTAAATAGTGTATTTGTTTTTTATTAAATATAATGTATATATTAAGCAGATAAAAACTAAAGCTTTATATATTTTGAAATACTATTAGTTTTGATATGAAGTCATATGTTTAATATTACAATCAAATTATTTAGAGGTGTATAAGTGTCCTTTATTAAAATAGTAGATGTCCTATGAACCTCTAATTAAATTTTTTAACTTTAAGGACATACAATATCACTAATATTTTAAAATAGAGACTACCTTTCTTCAAATAAATTTGCAAGTCATAAATTACCAATCACAGCAAGTTATGATTCTAGTGTAATTACTAGAATACGAGTTAGTTTTAAATAAATTCCAGAAATTACTTACATGATTATTATACGTACGGTAATTTTTATTTTTAAAGCACGTTTGAAATATATAACATGACCTATAAACCAAAAATACAATTTCGCTTAATATTTACAATTCAAATTTGATATTATGAAAATGTAACGGTCACGTTTTTTAGTTGTACTCTCAATAACATTTTATTGTATTATAATGATAGTGTTTAAAAAATATGTTGGTTAAAAACATTTGTTTTATAACATAATATAAATTGGTTTATACAAATAATACCTATATAATCCATTTATCAGCTCTATAAATAAAATGCATATATAATATAGTTAGAAACATCTTACTTAATTCAATAAAAATTATAGACTAGTTTAACAGTTACACTTAAAGATAGTACCTACTTGGACAAAATTCAAACTAGTTTTTATTCTTATTGTTACTTCTATCAATATACAAGTTGATTTTATGGTCGTCATTTAAAAAAAACACTATTCTAGAAGCAGGACGATTAAATACCTAGAAAAAACTGTTAAGCAAACTTATGGTTAAATACCTGTTTACTATGTATGCAAGATTATAAAAACATTATATTTATAACATATAATTGGTTTTGCTCTACTTTATAAGTAAATTTTAACCATAATAATTATTTTATTTAGTAGTATTTATCCATACACTATTAATATGACTTTTTTTTTTAAGTAAAATAATTATTACACTGAATACAGTTAAAATTAAAGTAGTTTTTTACTATATGTATATTTATTATTCTAGTAAATATATTTGACTTCTGGGCTTATACAATAGTTGCAACATTTTTTTTTATAAACAAGGTAGACCGTAGGAGGGAAATAATAAGCATATGATTTATGTATGACCCGTGAAAAAACAAATTCAATTAAACAAAACAATAAATCATTGTTCTCAAGTGTCTCGGACAAATTATTAGAATCAATATCCAGACGATTAATTTTTGTAAGGTCAAGGTCAAGCATTTAATAACTAATAATATATTATGTAAAGTGCTATAAGAAAACTTTGGTACATTATCAGTATTCTATTTAAATGTTTTTAGAACCTCTCGATATGATATGCAAATAATTATTTTAAGTATGAAATTTCAAAGATTGTCATAAATTATATTTTCCTAGGCTTGGTTTGGAATTTGATCCTTTTCCTATCTTGGCCATACTTAGCACATTTTTGGAGAAAAGGGATTATTTGAGGATTTTTATAATTCAAACCCATATGTCTTTGTAGAGTCAATTATAGGGATGTGGGGGTTAAATTCTTTAATAAAATATTCTGTTATTTTATCATTGTATTATAGTGTCATAAATCAACTAGGAAATACTTATTATCTGTAATATATTTGTCCGTCATTAAAACTTGCTGTCTAGTGGAAAAGGATAATAATTTTTGGGATATCATATTTGTAATAACTAATTAATACGCTCTAACATCTTGTACTTCAAATTATTCACGAAAAGGAAGAATCCTTTGTGAGCCAGATTCTAGTTAGGTAGTCAATTTTTTATCAATAGAAAGTTCGAACAAAGTAATATAACTACATTAATCCGTTTAATTTTGTTTTTATCGACCAAATATAGAATTAGAAAATGAATCCTTAAAAAAGATTTAACGTACACAACTAATTAAAGTATTTAAATATATTCCGCTAGGAGGAAAATTAGTTTAAACTTATAATTATTTTTTTAAGTATGTTGAATAATTGAGCTGAAAGGCACTTATCAGCATCAATAAGCTATAAGTTAA